TTAGGAATGTTTAAGAATTACTGGGAATTTTAAGCAAAAATTTGAGGCTAATGATATAAAATAAATACTTTAAATTAAAAAAACCCAGCTAAAATTCAAGTATTCAATGAAATTTATTTAGAAGCTTAATTTAAGGCTTACATGTAAAATATTTTTGATTAATTATTAACATCAATGTGTGGTAATATTAGGATGGAATTTGATTTATTTTTCTTTTCTTGAAAACTTCATACGGATTAATCCTCATTACAGCTATTCATATAAAATAGTTCTAATCAATCATTAAATTTGGTTTGACACAAATTGTGAATAAAATCTGTTGATTCGTTTCCATAAAATACAATATCTTAAGTTATATTTGAAAACCAAGCACTCTTGGGAGTGAAGGGGCTAATTACAGACAAATAAAATTGATTTTTTGATTAAAATCTTGTTTTAACCGTAACAATAAATTAGAATGAAGTTATCCTAAACTGCAAACTTAGCTGCTGTTTGTACTGTTTGTATTTTTTTTCCTGGGCTCACAATGAGTTGGCCTTGAATGAGGTTGTCAACAAGATCCTTGACCATTTTGTATCTGGATTCCTTGACATCTGAATTTGAAAAAAAATAATATATTAAAATATGTATATTTAAAGCTCAGACCAGGCTTTTAAGATGGCTATGAGGAAAAGGGCATTCATTGGATTCTCAAATTGAGAAATCTCTGTTATATTGAGTGACTTTCACATTGGAGTTAGTACATCTCTCTCATGGATTTTACTAAAAAAGGGCTGAATACATTATTTTGTTTTTACCAAGGAGGGCTTCTTTATGTACTATAAGGTTTGTTTAATAACAGTTCCTATTTTGAATCTTGAATGTTCCCAAACGTGACTAGAGGAATCTTGAAACCTTACTGATAGGTTTATTTCATTGTAAAGCATAATAAGCTTAAGAAACTGCGGCATGCAAGTGACCGATTCGATTCTCAGAATTATTCTAGTTTCAGTTGCGCCGAGCGTTATGTAAGCTTAATTCAACCCGCTACATCTATTCTTTTATAAGATTTTGATCACGTAACGAATATCGCAATTTTTACTCACCACAAACTTTCAAAATCGTAGCTTTACAGACGGCCATTCGACCCTTGTTTGTACCAGTCAACATGTCAACTGTTGCCCCTTCTTTTAACTCCACGGCGCCAACGACTTTCTTTTCTTTTACAACACTCACGCTATTCTCGTTTTCCCATTGAACCACAATAAAAGCTATCTTTAGAAATGTTATATTAAGCAAAACAGTTGAGAAAAGCGATCAACCGATGAAAAGTACATTCAAAGATGAGCGCCAAATGGAGTCTTCTTTGTTTCCGATCACGGGCATGATCACGTGGATCTTTTAGGACTTGTCATTGGCTAGCAGAGTGAATCCGCTGGCTTGCCGATTGCAGTGTTAGGAGAAGTGCCCAACTACATTCTGACTTCTCCGACCGGTTCTCTGCTTCTAGAAGATGGATAGCTTGGTGATATAAATAAAGATGTGAGCTCACTCTATGTAGAAATAATCGACAAGAATCGATCGTATTACAAATGCTCGTTTTGTGGCCGAAAGTTGTCGAGGAAACAAAGACTCGAAACTCACTTGAGTTGTGTTAATGGCAAAGGTGAGAAATAACACAAGCCAATCACAGTTTTGAATGCGACTACAAATCGTCTTTTACCCTCATATTTATAAAAGAAGGATACCACATTCGGAAGTATAAGAGATACATAGATGATCCCAGTGTACCAGTACCTAAATCTACAAAGCTTGACCGTAGAAAGCGTTCAGCAACACGTTCCAACACCGCCATCTCGATTCCTCAGTCAGTCGTTTCCACTGAACTTAAAGCAGTATTGACAACAGAGTAGAGTGCGTCTTACAAAGGAGAAACATTTGTACAAGAGACAGAAGTAGCTATATGCGATTACAGAGGTGCGTTGGAACTCTGGTCCACAAATAGTTATGCACTGCCCGAAGTATAAAACAATTTTGTTGATAGCTGACAGACAGAGAAGAACAACAAGTAAACTTAAGAGCTGTTATTATTGAAGTGTGACTAGCACTTTTCATTTTTATATAAAGAAGGACTTGTAATTTGCACCAAAAATAAAAAGATGTAATGTTTTTTGGGAGATCAGTGATTGGGACATTTAAGAAATTAAGTTATGAAAGGAAACTTAGTTGGTATTTCTCACTACTAACAAGTCTTGTTGACAAATATTTTCAGATCAGAGTTTCAAATAAAGTAAATTGAAGATGTCATATAAAAGGTGTTTTTCCTCAAAGGGAACATTGACTACCTCTGTCTTGTCTGCATGCCAAATGTTTGCAAAGTGTGTGGATGATCCACAAGTATTGGAACTCTTACAAAAATGTTTTGTAAGAATAAAAACAGCAAAACAAATTACAGCAATTAGTCATGAAAATAGAGCAAAACACTGAAAAAAGAGGAGCAACAACAATCATGAAAAAAGAAAGATTAATTAGGTGTTGAATTTGTTTGTCTAAGGCATGAAATTTCTACTAAAAGTATTGTCAACAAAAAGTCTCTGACAGAGTTGGAGGCAACTGAGCTTGACTGTTCTAAGATTTTCTAACAAAGGCAACCAGTAATGTAGGTTAGGGAAGTAAGATAACAATGTAATTATTGTTAATTATTGTGGAAGTTGGCAATTTCCATTTAACATAACTGACAGCTGGTTCATGAGAAAATCCATATTAATGTAAAGATTTACTAAAACTTAGTTTGAGTAATAAATTTCATGATCTTTGAGTTATAAACATGTACATGTATGTATATCTCTTGGTAAGTTTTGTATAGCATACCTTTTATTGAGCCAAAGTTTTAAGCCTCTGAAATTACTCTTTTTCTTAAAACCTTCACATTCAAGGTATTGAGAATTTCTTAGAATTTATGTGGACCTCAGGGTATTAAAATTGCCTCAAATTCAATTCCCAGAAATTCCCAAGAGTTCCACACTTCTTAAATTATAGGTAGTTTGTGAAGCTGAGAATTCCTAGGAATTCCTAGGGATTCCAAGTCCTCACAAAACTGGAGTCTTTCTTTCCCAGAAATTCCCAGTAATTCCAAGCTTTTTAAATCAGAGCTAATTTGCATAGTTGGGAATTTTTGAGAATTCCTAGGAATTCCTAGGAATTCCTAGGAATTCCCAGAAATTCCCAGAAATTCCCAGAAAACTGGGAATTCAGTTTGCAAGGGTCATTTGCATAATTGGGAATTTTTGAGAATTCCTAGGAATTCCTAGGAATTCCTAGGAATTCCCAGAAAACTGGGAATTCAGTTCGCAAGGGATGTTTTAACGGCCTCTATGGTGAACCATTCGGTGGACTTCTCTATGTTTAAATGGTCGGTTCTAGTTATGAATGAACTGAGCTTTTTTTCTTAAATCCTGGCAGAGTAATCTCGCTGACAGAATAGGAAGCAGCTCTAACTGATCATGAGAAAATGTTGCTTCATACTGCAGCTGAACAAAAGGCATGGTGAAGCAAACGGTTACGACCAATGAGAGGCTTAAACGTCTGTGAATATATGAAAGTCATATACTTGAACTGCGGATAAAGACGTGAATATGAGCGATCTTCGTAGTAATGAACACCACTTGAGCAAGCACTGCTCCGGTATCGCAGAGGTCATGGGCTCAAATCCCGTACACGCCTGAATTTTTTTCAGGCCTTATTTTCACTACTGCCCAAGCAGTGTTCATTACTGCGAAGATCGCTTTCATATTCACAATGAGAGGCTCACAACCTTTTGTTCACTTTTCTTAGACAACCTTACGTTACAATTCGCCTTTGTAATTTCTAGCTGAGTTTGTTTTTGAGAGGACCATTCATCATGGCAATCCCTCAGGTACAGAATTCTACCTAACGCAAGACCGAAAACGGTCCATGAAAATGGCTGAGATAGCCCAGTTAGGGCTAACTGACCATGAATATAAATGCTTCTCTCAATTTGTGAAGTTATTAGACACCATTCCCATCAAATGTCTCTTGCATTGATATATGTCCTTTTTTCAGCTGGAATCCTCTTGTTATTTCTGGAGCCTTATCGAAATGTAATGAAACAGGAGCTTAAATGACCGGTGAAACATAGCTCTGAGATCGATTGAACACTACATCGCATTGTCACTGTTGTTCCTAACTGTCCCACAATTCATGATCACTTATATGCGACGATGAAGCTTTAGCAAGGTGTTTATTAACGTTGTCATATTAACTAAAGCAGGATAGTTTTACGATCCTTATAAATATCAAGTATCCTGGCGAAGTAACCTGAGACAAGTATATGTCTAGATCAAAGCTTCATATCGCTTCTTTGAAAACTCAACAGATTCCTTGAGCGACATGTTACAATATAGCCCGCCATGTTGAAGGGTTGAACTATCGGTTAATATCCAGTAACAACAATATGCCACTGAAGTGCTAATTTGCTCTTCCAGTTTGATTGAGCCTTTACCGGAATAGCAGGATAATTCTCTTCAAAACTTCAGGGAATTTCCTCTCTAAACATTACTTCAGTTGTAGAAACACTGGAAAAAAAAACACCTCCTTTAACTCATGTTCACTTTGCTTTAATTATTTAATTTTTTTCTCAGGTCTTATTTCAGCTACTAGTTCAGTAGTGTTCATAGCTGCGAGGATCTCTTATATTCGTTTCTTCACCGCAGTGCACATATATGATTTTCATATATCTTACAGTCATTATTTTCTTTGATTAGTTATCCATCACTAAGTTCCTGTCCAGATAGCTAGTTAACTCATGTCAATAATAATATCTAAACATTTTCCAAATAATTTGGCATATCATTTTATCACAATCGATTTTATGCTACATAAACCAAAGAGGTGACTGTATTTCTAAAATATTTTAGAACTCAAACAGCCAAAGGCTGATCAGCATTGACTCTGAGTACTGAATATCATAACTATATTATTGATCACATAATTATTCCCAGGAACCTGTTGAACATGGCGGACGCTATCATCACTGAAAGTGCGAATCAAGCAACAAGCAAAAGAAAACCACCAGAGGTAGATGTTGAAGTGCCAGAGGTTGAAAATCTCCCGCAACACTCAGAGCCTTGGAAAAACGTCCAAAACAACTTTCTGCCGGTCCATTTTCTTTTGCTGACGGTAAATGACTGCGAATTCCGAAGCTGTCTTTCCTTTCTTAAAGAAGATTTTGTGAAGAGTTATCACAAAACCCTTGGCTTTGTATACTTTGGAAGTATCCTTGACAACGAGAAAGTGAAGGTTGCAGTGATGAAATGCAATATGGGTGGTGCCGCTCCCGGTGGTTCCCTGGTTGTTGTCCCGAAAGCGGTCCGCATCTTGAAGCCCAAAGCTGTGTTTAATGTGGGTTTCTGTGCTAGTTTGAACAAGGAGAAAGCAAAGCTAGGTGATGTGGTCGTGTGCTCAAAGTTAATAACCTACGCCTTCATAAAACAAGAGGAAGATAGGATCGAGGAGCAAGGTGTCAGAGTTCCTTTAAATAAGGGTCTATCAGGTATTGCCAGACACATTGGAGATGGATGGAAACCACCCGTGAAGAACTCAACCGATCTGAAGGTGAAACCAAGCACGAATGGCGTATTTCTGAGTGGGCCTGAGGTGATTAACGACCCAAAACGACTTGCTGCACTGATGAAACGATTTCCAGAAGCAACAGCAATTGAGATGGAAGGGGAAGGTAATAAATGAAAAGTAAAAGTACGTATTTCAGAGTATTTATATCTGTACGGGGTCCTGTTTGGCCGTCGGTCTTTCTTTCTGTCTTTCTGCCTTTAATGTCTGTTGGTCTCTTTTTCTATCTGTTACACATGCCAGGATACATTTAGCTGCTGAATCAAGTTAAGGTTCACCATCATTTCATTTTTATTTTGTAAATCAATTTTTTTCTGGAATGTTGATGGATAATCACTGTAAGAAGTATTTTTGACTGCCTTGTCCTCAAAATCAATAAAAAGTGGCAAGTTACACTAAAATTTTAGCCCAACTTACATTCATAACCATAACAATCGATTCTCATTGAGCTTGGCACCTGCGAACGAAATAAATTATGTCCAAGTGATGGAATATCGGATACAGTTGAACGGAAGTTGCAGGAGAAGTAAAATCCACATTACAAACATCAAAACAAATTAAAGCTAGAACAGCGAAGATTACAACTCTGATGCCTTTCGTTTGTTGTCTGTTTGATATTTTACTCATTTTTCGCTCTCTTTATTTCTTCCTAGCATGCTCCCCATTACCTTGTATGACAACTATTTCGCTGTTTCTATCTGTCCTTCCATGAGTCTCTCTGATAACTGTCTGCCAGTGTCTCTCTTTCTAACTGATTTAAAATAATATGTAATTTCTTTAATCGTAGCACAACTGCAAGGATCATATCTTTGCTAATATTTACTGATATAGTTATCCATTTACTTATTTAAAAAGGCAAAGTGAAAACCCGGCGTCTATTCAGTGTCTCTTATAAACCAATGCTTTTCTTTAAGGTCTTTACGCAGCTGCCCATGATCTCAACATTGAATGGATTGTCATTAAGGGCGTGTCAAACTTCGCCGATGGAAAAAAATCTGAAACTGATCATTGGAGACTATTTGCCAGTGTTATGGCGGCCTCTCTCGTTGCACACATTCTAAAAGATTCTGGTATTTTTGAGTCCTGGCCTCACTTCGAAGGTAATTATGCAGTTGGTTGAAAAAGTAGATACTTTTATCAAGGGAACTCTACATTAAAAAAAAAAATCCACAGGCAAGTTATCGTCAGTATGACTAGGATTTGCTGTATAAAAACGCTGTTTAACGATGTCGCGCAGACGAAAGTTGCATGATGTGATTTACAGTGGCAACCGATTCTCATGACGAGCTGCTCCTAAGTGGCGTGAACTAAACACTGCCAGTCCTGAGAGCAAAGAAACCAGTATACATCAAAACAAACAGAATAAAAGGAAATAAAAAGTTTTAAGATCATTCCTAACAATCACCGCTTGCGAGGTCTAAGGTTCATTGAATAAATATTAAAGAATTAATTTAACTGATGGATATATGAAAAATTACACAATAAATAACAGGAGCCACAGACAGCCCAAGCGCACTATATGTGATTTTGGGGTTTAAATATCATTAACAGGAATACCTGATAAATTAAGATTGATTTTGTAAGCGTTAGTGTGTGCCGTAAAAAAAAGAATGATGATAAAAAATTTTAAAATATACAAAAAAGTCTCCTTACCTTTATTCCGTGGCCGCTTTGTCGCTTCCGGCCATTTTAACGCTATTTGTCGAAATTCTTAGTACTGCGTGTTGTGCACTATTTTATAGCTTCTATTGTCATTTGTACTTTTATTATCATTATCATTTTTTTATAGGACACGCTTGAGTTTCATTTAATTTATTAGATATTCCTGTTAATCACCTTTAAACCCCAAAATCACACACACAGTACGCTTGGGCTGCCTGTGAAGGAGCCAACCTATTGGTACAGAGACGGTTTTTGTCAGTTTTTATGCATAAAAGATGCAGTTTAACTCTTCTCCGACAATGAACCCATACTTTGGTGCTCCTTTGATCTATTCTAGTTAAGAGGATAACTGAAAGTAGTCTTTTTGAGCCTTTTAATTATCTTGTGTTTTACGAAATGCAATATGTTTAACTGTAGGTACGATTTCTTGTCATTTTATACAGACAATTCGGATGCTGAAGATGGTTCTCCTCGAAAGAGACGACGGTCGTCATCTTCTCCTTCCGGTTCAGACCCTAAAAGAAACAAAGCGACAGCAGGTAATAATGTTTAATTTTTAAGTACACTGTTGTAAGAAAATGCCTGCTCAAGAGTTTTGTTAAGTAGCGTGGAACAAATTAATTTCAAAATTTGTCCAAATATTTTGTGTTGCTAGCCCATAGTAGCAAATATCATGGCTAAAAAGCACAAGTCTTTAACCAGAGTATAAAATGCAAATGATGCCGGGTAGCGAGAGGGGAGGAGGAGGAAAGAGAAGGACGAAGAGAGAGAGGAGAGGAGGAAGAGAAAAACGAGAAATTGAAAGGAGGAGAGGGAGGTATGGGGTGGATGAAGGGAGAGAGTAAGAGAAGGAGGAAGGTTGGGAGGGTGGAGGAAGATTGGAAACAAGGACAAAGGGATGGATGGAAGGAGGGAAGAAAATAAGAAGGAGTGGAGGAGGACAGAAAGAAGGGCAGAGGAATCGTAGGGAGAGAAGTAGCAAGGAAAGGAGGAGGGGAGGAAGAAAAGAAGGAACAATGAAGGTGGTTAGAGAGTTAATCTAATCCATTCTCGTCTTTCAGGAGATTCTTTTATACAAGGTGCACCGCAGGAACCTTCAAATCGAAGAGGACGGCGATCCACACGATCCAGTAGTAGTGAACCGCGTGCTACTCAAGGAATTTTACCAAAAAAATCTTGTTAATTCCGTAGATGATAAATCTAAAGGGAATTATAGGGTAATTCCCATGTTCACTAATTGAACTCAACAGTAACGCCTATTAACTCTGTCAACGCTTTGTTTGATTTTCGTCTTTAATTCATTTCCTTAAAGCAGCATCGAATTCAGCAAAAGTTATTCTTATTACATTATACTGAAATCGAGAAGAGAGACTCAATCACCATGGAAACAGAGCGACATTAAACAATTTAAGCCTCCTTTGTGAGTCTTTTTAATGCAAATTGTCCGATTAATTAGTAGTAAGACTTCATGGCATTCAATTCGGTCTGAAATCATACTCGTGATAAACAAATCGGACTCCCGCTGCGCGTTCGTCCGATTTTGTCATCACTCGTATGATTACAGTCCGAGTTGAACTCCACTCAGTCCTATTACCATTACTTATCCTCAGCTCCGGTCAAGGCTGGTGGACCACCAGACGAGGAGTTGGAAGGGCTGTCTCTAAAACTTGGAGAAAATTGGAAGAAATTAGGAAGACGCCTGGGATTCGACGAAGCCGCAATAATTAACTTTGATCACGGCAATAGGAAGCTGGCAGACAAAGCTTTTGAAATGTTACTGGCTTGGAAACAAAGAGAAGGCTTGAATGCCTTTTACGAAGTTTTGTACGATGCCTTGTGTCACAATTTTGTGCAATGTAAACTTCTTGCAGAAGAGTTTTGTTGCGATAAGATTATAGAAAATGTCTCTCCTTAGTCTTCTGTTATAAAGATTAATAATGGTAACAGGACTTCGTGTCGTCCTATTCTGTCAGTAATCATACGAGTGATAAACAAAATCGGACGACCACGAAGCGGGAGTCCGATTTGTCAATCGCGAGTATGATTACTGACAGAATTGCACGCCACGAAGTCCTGCTATTAATCAATCATAACCATTACAATTTCCGGAAAAAAAACATTTAGGACAAACATCTCCAGTTGGGACAATGTCTAAAGCAAAAAATTTTGATATCTCCCAGTTTCCAGGCTAAGTGATTGTTGCTATGGTTATTATGATCAATTCTGTGATTGGTGGTTTAGCTGAATGGTATGATTGGCTGCTTTAACTGTCCGATTACAGGAGTCCGATTACACTGTCCGATTACAACTGTACACAGTGATAAGTGAAATATAAAGCAGCTGATGCACCGATCACATTTGAGGAAATTGTAATGGTTATGATTAAATGATTTATATACAATTTCATATGTCTGTCTAAGTACTCCATAAAAGATCTGTATCGGCTTGCATTTGTAAACTCCGCTTATTTTCCTAGCTCTTGAAGATAGGAAAAATATTAGCTTTAGAGGATAGATAATCACTCTAATTTTTCAGAATTTTTTAAGAACCGCAGGTGGTGGTGGAATTCATTCAAATGTTCGTAACACACTGAGTACACTCCCAACCAAAATACCCTTCATATATCCTTCACATTCTGTCATTAAAATGTACATTCTCCTTACTATTCTCTCTGCATTTTTTATGGAACAGACAAGGATAATTGCGTGCTTAACAAATCGAAAGCTTTTTTGGTTGCTGATCATTTCCTTTATTCTCAAAAACTTATTTTTCAATTAATGAGTGATACTGTGAGGAGAAATAAGATGATAGACACAATTTATGTTTAAGGGATAATCGTTTGTGGCGAGCCTAGAACATGAAGTAACTTCTTGTTCTTGAGAAGGGTTAGATTTTTCTTGTATCAATGTGGTGGATATATATGCTTAAATATATAACCCTCTTAGAAGCTAGGAGCTGTAGGAGTTAGGCTATTGATAAAGATCGAGGATACAAATGTATTCCTCAGCCTGAGCTCTCATATTTTTTTTATGGGTTATAAAGGTTTCGCCTCATTGCAAGTTCGCCCTCAACAAGTTCGCCCCTACTACGACCAGCTCTCCCCGTCACCGCTGTGCCTTTCTTATCTTCTTCTTATAAAATCGGTTTCTAAAATCATATCATAGTTCGTTCAGCACGAGAAATACATATAGAAGTTGTTTTTCTTCAACTCAAAACTGAGTCCTTGTGCTCCAAAACCAATGAAAAACAAAAAATAGTTTCTTCTATGTGGGTTCAATTTACCGCTGAACTTGCAGCTGTAGCAACCATATAACGTAACATAGCTTTCGAACGACACGAAATAAAACGAGTTATAGATCCAGGAAGAAGACAGTGGAAGGACTACTATTTGAAGATAACCGACCGATCGTGTTTCCCTTTGTTGGCCTGAAACATTTTTTTAAAGATGAAAAGGTCAATTATTGCAATTTTTTCCATTGTATTAACAATTTTGACACCTGCCCGTTTCCCCAAGAGATTATAAACAGTTTATAATCTCGTGTTTCCCATTCAAGTCATCAGTAAGCACGCTGTGCGTGCCTATTATCACGTCTAAAGATCATAAAGGAATAGAGGGGGTATTAACAGTGGTTCTACTTCAGGGAGGGGAGGGGTTGCAAGATAATGTGGTTTATTGACTGAGGTGAAAGTGTAAATTTCTCTCGTTTCGAAGGATACTGGAAATGTCAGCTCTTAAAAATCCTTACAGCGGCCGATGGAAAAAACTATTTTGATACATTGCATGATTTTTACACCACACAACGTTTGCGCTGATCGCGGACTCTAGCTGTCGGTTTCAAAATGGCGGCGGCAGTGAAGAGAAAACCGGAATCTGTTGTGCCGCCAGAAGAAAGTGATTTGCTCAGAATAACGCCACTGTAAGTTGCTTTTTACCTCAAATCTTGAAGTGACTATGTAAATAAGTCAACGCATTTGTGTTTGATGGATACCGATCTGTTGCTGGTTGTAAACTGCATTAGAACGTGCGTCTGCACGTGTACTGACCACAAAAACTCTTTAGTAACCTATCGCAATCGATTTCGGTCGTTTTTGACATATTTGACCGTGCATTCTCGCAATTTAGTGGGCCTTTTTCACCAGTGACCTCAGATATCCCGGTGGACGTGTCGCTGTAAATAAATGAACAGTCGATTAACGGTGCAAAATATTATTTCTGCGTACGCCATCATTGTTATTACAATGGTTTGCTGAGACGGAGATGGCTTCTCAGACTTTAGGCGTAGATCTTAAATTGAATTATTTTCCGGTATGTTTACTTAGGGGAGCTGGGCAAGAAGTTGGTCGGTCATGTCACATCCTGGAATTCAAAGGAAAGAAAGTGATGGTGAGTATTACAGGGTACTGAACCCTTTCACTGGCAAGATTCAAAATCTTACATTTTTTGCCGTGACTGTGGGAAACCCAATAGCCTAATGATTCATAGACTGGACTCTGTGCCAAGAGGTCTGGGTTTGAAACCTGGCTGGGTCATTGTGTTGTGTTTTATGAGCAAAATACCTTACTCTTACAGTGCCTTGTTCTGCCCAGGAGTAGGACTGGGTATAGGCATATAGTCAGGGAAGCCTGACGAAATGCTAGGGGGGAACTTTGTGATGGACTAGCATCTCATCAGGAGGGAGCAATGATACTTTTAGTCACTTCATGCTGAGATAAGCTCCAGTTGGAAGAAGCACTTGGTTTAATTATTGACTCTTGACCTGTCCTAACAATGTAGTGTTGTATCATTGCTTGGTTGATGATTTTTTCAGTTCTTGTCACCTCTAGCTGTGTAACAACTCCTACCCTTGTTGTATGTCAATTCACTGAGTCCTCAGGGTTAATGATACTTTCTTTTGTGGACATTGAGGGTTATGCAGGCACAAATACGAACAATTTTGAAAGAGAGGAACCTTTGAGTAGTTCAACAAAAAAAGAGATGCAACAACAGATTTTATGCAACTGCACCAATCACTCAAGCTCCTTTTAACTCTTTAACATTTCCCACTTTTAGCTGGACTGTGGAATTCATCCTGGAATGTCAGGAATGGAGTCTCTACCTTTTCTTGATGAAATTGATACAGCAGAAATTGATCTTCTCCTTGTCAGTCAGTAAGTGGTTATTAAAGAAACCCAATTTGTCATAATGGAAGTTTACTCATCATCATCAACTTATACAGTAGTTGACCACAACAAACCCTTGCTCAGTCACCTGATTTAATACTTAATACTGACAATTAAATTCTAGTCATCAAACTTGATCCTATGAAATATTGTACAAAGGGGGGAAAATGCTGTCCAACAGATAAAACGCTATCCAGTGGTGAAAAATACTGCGGTATCTCCTGGATACTGGAGATTTATCCTGACCAGTGGATGGTGCTATACAAACTCATAACTACCAGGGGCCAGAGTATTTTTGTTTTGTTTTGTTTTGTTGTTTTTTTTGGAAGGGGGGGATTTTTTTCGTGTTTGGTGGGTGGGAGGAAGGGAAACTTAAAGTATTCATGTACATTGTATCTAGAGATCATGTAAATAATTCAATACAAGCTAATAATAGAAACTACAAGCACTTGATGACACCAAAAAATAATATGAGACAGTTAAACATCAATCTTTTCTTCTTTATTTGAGCAATAACGAAGGGGTGCAAGTTTAACCCTTTAACTTCCATGAGTGACCAAGACAGAATTTCTCCCTACAATATCAATACAATATCAACCAGATAGGTGATGAGAATGAAGAAAAATATGAATTTGGGAATAATTAGTTGATTCAATACTAATTCTCTGAACTAATGTGTAAGAATTCTATGGTTGACTGTAAGGAGAATTGCAAATTTCATCTGGGAATTAAAGGGTCAAGGGAAGGGCGAGAATTAACCGGTATGGCCTGTAAACAGGGGCTGGGGGAGGGGGGAATACTTGCAAACCACAATAATTTTTTTTGTTTGTAATTATATGTAAAAGTGGACGCATGAAAAGGTAGTGGGGTAGGGGGTTAATTAGCAATATTCTGTGGTGTGTTTTTTATGTACTCTAAGTATTCAGATCAGTTTTGAACCTATGTGCAAGAAATTTTGTTGTTATCCATTTCCAGCTTTCATCTAGATCATTGTGGATCGCTTCCTTGGTTTTTGGAAAAGGTGAGCAACCACCACAATGTTCTGATACATTGTGATGTGTGGAAACAACCTGTTCATTTAATTTTATGTTGAAAACTTAGTGATAAAGTTCAGTAGATTTTAGTCATCCTTGTTCTTGTTTGAACTCCAGCACAATGTTCAATGCTCCTCTACACAATTTTTCTTCAGCACTTATCCCTGAAATCTGTTTACCCTTAACCCTTTAACTCCCAGATCAAATTTGTTATTCTCCTTACTGTCAACCATACAATTCTTATAATGTTAGTTCAGAGAATTTAGTATTGGATCAACTAATTATCCTGAAATTGATATTTTTCTTTATTCTCATCACTTGTCTAGTTGATGTTGTATTGATATTGTAAGGAGAAATTCTGTCTTGGTCACTCATGGGAGTTAAAGGGTTAATACCCTGATATCAGTATGCATATTCTCTGCACTGTTCTATACATTTCCTATGGAGAATTGGTTTAAAAGCCAAGGGCATTTTTAGATGCCAATCATTTCCTCAAATCTTGTGACCTTAGTATGTGATTCATCAGTGATACTGTAAGGAGAAATCAGATGTGAGTCACTCATTTGGATTAAAGGGTTGTCTTCAATTAAAATGGCTTTTTTACTCATAGTTCATGTTATTTAAATGGTGTTTAATCTTTAAAGGATTTTTTCTTTGCTTTTTAGACAACATTCAAGGGAAGGGTGTTTATGACACATGCAACCAAAGCAATATACAGGTACATTGCATGATTAAGATTACACAGATGAATATTGCATATTAGGATATACTACACGAGTGGCTGGTGTGCAGGTGATTAGCAAGTATGTTACACCTCCAAGCCATCAAAGAGACAAGATCATATCCTAAGAGTTTAATTTCTAACCATTTTTCAGTATATTGACAGAAATGAACTTATAAGCTTAAAGCTAGAACTTTTTGGCTTCTGTGTAGTACATACTAAAACCATTATTCGCCTCAGTGTCCATGAAAGTGGTGAATATTTACCAAGCCATTTTTCAGCATGGTAAATATCCACCATTATGAATTTTTCAACTCTGATTATTGTATTTCAACTGTTCTGATTGGTTCACTCAACTCCAGTTATCAGCTCTTATTCCAAATCACCTTATATAGAAGGGCAAAGCACCATCTGTTGCAGAGCTGAAAAGGCTCCAAATAATATAGCCTGGTTGGCTATTTACCATCTTATAACCATTTGTGCCCTCATGGAATGATTGTTAACTATTTCCCTCCATTTTAGTGAAAATAGCATCCAGAGCCCAGCTTTCAAACAAAATAGGCACCAGTCTGCCTCATAATTTTTTTTTTTCGATCACTATTTTTTTCGTACATCGTTCATCATTTTTTATTTATTTGTAATTATTTTTTAAATTAATTTTTATATATTTTTATTATTGTTTTATATATTATCCATTTTTTTAGCACTACTAACATTATTTGCAATGTAACAATACCCAATACTTGATTATAGATTTGTTTTCTTTAGCAGATTCTTTTACTGTTTCAATTAATCTTTCAGAATTCTTGGGAAAAATTTTTCTAGCAAGCAGTTTGAGTTTTTCTCTTTCCTTTCCTTTTTAGGTGGCTTCTTTCAGATTATGTCAAGGTTAGGTAAGTATCATTATACATTTCAAGCAAAGGAGGCCTTTGGATAGAGATTCTTCTTCGCATATTAACTAGAACATTACTAATTGCTATTCCAAGTTCATGTTCTACTACTAGTGTTCTTCAGATATTTAAGCCAGCTGCAACAAGAGTATTTTTCACCAAAGGTGCAATGACAGGCTTACTTACTTAAACAGCTATGTTTCAGCTGTTTCTACCTGTGTCAGCTCATGCATTATACAGCCTGTTGTGTTTGGTGCAAAAGTGAGCATCCACCTTTTGAGGACACTCTTTAAATACATTATCCTCCTCTGCATCAGCCAGTCCCAGTAAGCTCTTGGCAAATCTCTTTGACTTCCATTCCTGCTCTATGGCTTTTTTTATGAGCTGCATATGTAACTCCATTGAAGTAATATAAATACAGTCGTTTCCACAAACTATACAGACACAGGACAGTTTCACTCCTGGATGTACTTTTCCTTAGTGTGATACCTCTGGCCTAGTTTAGCAAAACCCATCATAGATTTGCCCTCTTTGTTGGAAACACTCAGAAATCTCTGAAAAAATTATCCTTAGAAGTTATTTACTGGCATGCAACAAGTGGCTTCATGGTTTAGTTGGTAGTACAGTGTAGTGCCCATCAACTATCTGGGAATAGATGTTGAAACCTCATTGGAGCCTTCAAATTCTCAGACTCAATGTATTGCAATGACTACTATTGCAGTGCACCTGGGAAGAACAGTTTGTCACGTGTCATTTTCATTACTGTTCATTATTTTTAATTAGCAACATTGCAACAGAAGACATGCTGTACACTGAATCAGATCTGGAAAAGAGCATGGACAAGATTGAAACCATTCATTTCCATCAGGTTTGTTTCAATCTACAGCTTTATCATTACATAATTGTAACTTATGATATCCAAAGTAGTATTTCTTCATCTTTTCTTTTTTTTACTCTTTTAGGAAAAAGAAGTTAATGGGATTAAGTTCTGGTGTTACCATGCTGGTCATGTTCTTGGGGCAGCCATGTTCATGATAGAAATTGCTGGTGTAAAGGTTTGGACAGTCTTCTAAAAGTTTTTTGTCAAACACTTACATAGTGGTTATCCTGTGCACAAGAACACAGGCTTACAGGCTGAAAAAAGTGTCCTTGAAGTGCAAGTTTTTCTTGATATCCACATCTACAATTTGTTAAAATTTGTTAAAATGTTATGACAAATTTAACTTAAGCATAAACTACACAGTTTCTAAGATTTTTAAGTGGGATACATATTCATGACTGTTACTGTCGGAAAGAGGTGGCCTCTCATATGTCCATGGGTAGCTGGCCTTTGTTTGAGGGTGCCAGTTCACAGAGGCTCAAATGCACTGTTTACTAATAATACTTACTGCACTTTCTAGAATGAATTATTGGCATTTATTCATAATTATCCATTGAATTTTGCACCTAGTTTGCTATGTTTTTAACATTCTTTGATGTTGTTGTTGTTTTCCAGATTCTTTATACAGGAGATTTCTCTCGACAAGAAGATCGTCATCTGATGGCAGCAGAGATCCCTAGCATTTCTCCTGATGTTCTCATAATTGTGAGCTACCAATCATCTAAACTCATCAGTCTGTTAATTAATTTTTTGATGTGTATTTGGAGCATCCAGCAGTGTATTTCGAAATGATTTTGGCTTCAAACTTTAAACATTTAACCCCTAAGAGTGATAAGTGTCTAATACCTCCAAGCATTATCACCACTGTATCAAACATTAAGTTCATGAGAATAAAGAAAATTATCACAAACTCAAGAGGCACTTGACTATAAGACAAATTCTCCTTTTCAGTGCCATAGGAAATGTATGGGAAACACTATGAAGAATTACATTTTGATGTTAGGGTGTAACAGGGTTAAAGCACAAGGTTTCTGTGACAAAAATGAGTACATGTAGAAATTTAGATTCTTTGTTTTACAGCCATGGCTTAAAGTATTAACATTTTAAAAACGTGAGATCAAATGTATTTAATTTTCTACTTTATTTTGACAAATTATTATTTTCTAATAACAACTATAGGAATCTACTTATGGTACTCACATTCATGAGAAGCGAGAAGACAGAGAGAACAGATTTACAAGTATGTTCTTAAAACTGATACCAAAAGAAAATACACCCTACTACACCATTATCCATTTTATTCACCCAAGTTGGTGGAGAGTTTTGCATCAAAGAATACAACACAGTGACTCTAGGAAAAGCAGAAACAAGTTGTTCCTGTAGTTGATTTATTCCTCTGTACCCTGAGATGTACAGGTGTAGGTAGACACATATTTGTCACAACGTCTCTCTGCATAAAATGTAGTACTATTCTAGTTGGTAGGCTCTTCAATTCTTATCAAGAGATGATCCAACAGCTTGATATGAGTACGGCTTACATTCACATTTAAACACTCTAGTTAATTACATGACATTTCATTCATTTGATAAATCATTCAAGAGAATGCTGAAATCGCAGACCAAAGTACAAGTACTGAATTTAACTACAGTATTGATCTATTTTTATGTAATTTGAAGCAAGTAGGCCCTTTTGTCAATCGTTTTGAATCTATTCAGGTACTGTCCATGATATAGTAAACCGTGGAGGAAGATGCTTGATTCCTGTCTTTGCTTTGGGGCGAGCTCAAGAGTTGCTTCTCATTCTTGGTATGTTAGGTCCAGTTTTCTTTGCAATTCTCTGTTATAATTTTGTAAATATCCTTATGACTAAACCCCATTTTATGATTGGCCATAAAATGCTAAAAAATACCAACTGAGTAAATTTTTAGGGACTTACGGTTATAAGAATTGTTTTGTTTTGTTTGTTTGTTGATTGGGTTTTTTTTGGGGGGGGGGGGGCGGCGGTTCTGTGTGGATTTTTAGTTGTTTCAGTTGTCTGATAGTTTCAATGTGCTTTTCTAAGCTAATACAGCTCAAAAAAGATGTAACAGTGATGCTTTAAGAAGACTTGTAACGGTCAACCGTTACAACTGAATAAGGGGGTAATTTTCTAAATAAACTGTGGTGCTGGGTCGGTAGGGCTGGGGGGGGGGGGGTGAAGGGGGGGATTGGGTGCGTTACAAGACAATTGGGTTGTATAAATTGAGTTGATAACGTAAGTTGGCCGCTGAAGAGACCCTCTAAAGCTGACCTTTCGAGTGTCAGCCCTTTGTCAATCGCTATGACGAGGGGCTAGCGCTCGAAACTCAGCTTTGGAAAATCTTTACGGTGGCCAATTTATATTATCAACTCAATTGGTAAAAGCCAATTGTCTTATAAATTTAATAATCTTGCATTCAAAGAATTCACACTCATGCTTCATAATCAGATGTCAACACCCTAAGAATGCCGTTTTTAACGCCACTGGAACTACGCTTACTTTCTTGTATTTAATAATAAGTGCTTAAGTGTAGTTTGTAAATGATTAAAAGGGGTACGTTTCTTGGTGCTGCGTCGGTAGAAGAGTATAACTGGGTAATTTAGTATTATAAACTGAGTTGATAACGAAAATTGGCCATCGTAAAGAGTTTCAAAGCTGACGTTAGAACGAATGACAAAGGGCTAATGCTTCGCTCTGACGAAGGGCTAACGCTCGAAACGTTAGCTTTGAAACACTTTACGGTGGCTAATTTGCGTTATCAACTGAGTTGATAATACTAAATTATCCTATTTTGTAAATGGATTCCTGTAGATGAGTATTGGCAAAATCATCCTGAGCTTCACGATGTTCCAATCTACTATGCTTCACAACTGGCCAAGAAATGCATGTCAGGTGAGAGAAGAATGCCAAGTTTGTAATTGTTTATGTTGCGTTAACAATATTTTAGAACGTAGAATGACAAGAAGAATTTGTTTAACAATCAGGAGCTTCGTAAATTGGTGATCATTTACTCTCGCGACTTTTACGTTTGATTAAAAGCAGATACTACAGGCCAGTCTCTCTTAGCAGTTGTAGGGTTAAAGAAAGAGGTTTGCGAGAAGAAGTTAGTTTTCACGGTTTCAAGGCAGTGGGCCCCCTTCAATTTATCCTAGAGCATAACCTTGAAATGCGACACTTTTTTGAAGAGGAGAATGTAGGTACATAGAACACTCAATGTGGTCTAGAAAATGTGCCGCTGAATAAGATACCAAGGAAACCCATCATCAGATGAAGAGACGATCAGGTTACAGCGAGTGTTTCATTTTGTAGAATGTGCGAAACATTATTTAATGTTGCAAACATCCTATGCCCTGTTTAAACAACGAGAGAGAGTTGTATGAGATTGTCTGTCTGAACTATGTATCGGGTATTGTGCAACACCGTTGTAAAAAGGGGTTAAAACTAAGAGTAAACGAAAGGACTTTCCGCCGGGACAAAACAAATTGCCGTTGACAGGAAGTGATCGTTGAAGACGGGGGCATGTTAGTGGAGGTAAGACACCGAGACTGTCACCAAGACTAAGTTAGATAAAAGAAAACCATATGCGAACCATACTCCTTGAGGTCGCCGTATCGATAGGAAAGTGTCCTCCGACACATGCACAGTGACAATGACCAAGGCTATTTCTTTTCGATCCAAAAACGTATAGGTTAATTATTGGCCGTTATGGTTTACACATTTATATATCGTTATTTGCTTTTATTTGCAGTGTTCCAAACATATGTCAATGCAATGAATGAGAAAATCAAGAAACAGGTAAGATGATTATCGTTGCTTCACCATTCAGGCTTAGGTTTAGAAAAAGTCACTGAAATGCAATTATGTAGTCTGCATATTTGACGGTCGTATTGAAGAACTGAATGGTGGTAAAATGTTGTTCATTTTATGCTTGCTGATATACTCAGGACATTACCTTTTCACTAGGTTATTAAATTAAATCTTTTTGTGTGTGTTTGTAGATCGCCATTTCTAATCCATTTGTGTTCAAACACATATCGAACCTGAAGGTAAGTTGGTACTGTAGATGGTATGCATGTGTGCATGTCAATGCCATGTATTTACAGTAACGATGGAACACTCAAAGCACATGTTCATCATCTGTTTGTTTGTTGATTTCTTGGCTGTTTGCATGCATGTTTGTTAGTTTATTCTTTTGTTGGATTGTTTTTTCTAGGGTATTGATCAGTTTGATGATATCGGCCCCTCGGTTGTAATGGCAAGTCCTGGAATGATGCAGGTTTGTGACTGACACAAAAGTTAAGATTCCAGACATAGCTGAATGTTTTTAAAGGAAAAAATAAGCAAACTTTTTATATTTTTATTTGTTTCTTTGTTGCTGATTTCTCTGTTTTTAAGCTGCATAAACTATTAAAATCTTATCAAGGAGTAGCAGCAGCACACAAAATGGGCGTTGTGTCAATGAGAGAAAACCTCGGCCCTATAATTCACTTCTTGTGCATGAATACAAACCGATTTTCTTTGCACACAGAGTGGCTTGTCACGTGAACTCTTTGAGCAATGGTGTACCGATCGTCGAAATGGTGTAATCATAGCTGGTTACTGTGTAGAGGGGACACTAGCCAAGGTATTGTGTGAAATGAACTACTCAGTATGGTGCCCTGTTAACGTCCTTTACAGTTTTACACTACTGTTTTATGTGACCAAGCAAACTGTTTATGGGAAACATGAAGCCATTTTAAGTTCAACAAAGGCCTGCTGGACGGACAAACGGAAAAGGGAAATGGGCGGGAAAGGAACCATTGTCAATAAATAAGTGTTCTTGCTAACGGCTCGATTACGGCTTTAAAACTTGAATGAAGTGAGCCAAGTTGCTTATTTAATCGCGTCCAACTCCTGATCCGATGATGCACTCGTAGAACTCATAATCTCTTTACCTTGTTTTGAGAGCTCTGTCATTAGTTTATTCTTAATGTATTTGCATTTTGTACCAGACTTTGATGTCAGAACCTGAAGAAATAGCGACCATGACAGGACAAAAGATTCCACGCAAATGTTCTGTCGGTGAGTGCTGGTGTTTCTAATACTCAGAATATTTTCTTGTGGTACATGAAGCTATCTATTTGAAGAAAAGTTCGAGTTTCCTTCGAAGAAACGAAGCCTCGAGTATCAGACTTTTTTTCCATGGAGAGTAAACTTTTAAAATTTTTTACATGATGTTCCGACTACTCTCCGTCATGATAGAGGTGATTCGTGGTAGTAAAGAACTTTTCAGTGGCTTTTCGGAGGAAATGCAATAGGCTGTACCTCAGTGCGATCAGCCAATCATATGTAAGACTTGTGTGTAGTGACATGCATAATCTTTAAAATTCCAGTCGGCATCCAGTGATATGAACACCTGAATTAATGGTTTGTTCCTAGTTCTGTGAGATTAGCCTTTAAAGAGTTAATTGATAAGCGCTCTTAAAGAATTCGTTAATGCTCAGCGTGCGTTTCGAGCTATGGATGCACGCAGAAAGTTTGGAGAGCACGAGAGAAGAGTAAGAGTTGTTCGCGGCGAGATATAGTTGCTTGAGATATTTTTTCTTCCTGATTTTTTCGACTGGTTTTCAAGGTACTTTTAATGTAGTCTATTTGAAGTTTCCCAACAATGAATGTATTCCCTTTCAGTGAATTTCAGACCATGCATTAGTGTAAAAATAACAAATTGATTCTGTGATTTGTTATTTGCAGACTACATTTCATTCTCAGCTCACACGGATTTCGAACAGACAAGTGAATTCATTCGAATTCTAAAGCCCCCTCACATTGTAAGTGAAATGTAGAGAGTTTCACGAAATTTAAACAAGTTGTAACAACTCAGCCTCAGTTTCCTGTAGACCCTTCTTACTTTAGAAAAGAAAAAGACTCCCCTTATACATAGGCACAGAAAGTAAGTATTTAAGTGGTCCAAAAGGCACGAGCTGAAATTTCAAGTTCAAATGAATATTTTGACACAGTTCTAGATTGGAAAAAATGAACAAGTCCCTGCTTATTTTAAGAATCCAAACGCGTGAGCGCATCATGGACAAGGTTTTCAATACACTGTTTGGATAAAATTAACCTTAATCGTCTTGTGATTGCTTCAAAAAAGTTTGTTATATTTTCTCAGGTGCTGGTTCACGGTGAACAGAACGAAATGGGTCGACTGAAAGCCGCTTTGATTCGTGAATACGAGGACAATCCAGTAAGTTACGCGCGGGCAATGTTTTGTAAGTATTAGCTTTTTCAATAGATAAAGTGCTCAGACTATTTCTTATTTTGTACCTTCATCTACAGGATGCCAGTGTGGTGGTTCATAACCCCCCTAATACTCAAAGTGTAGAGCTCTATTTCCGGGGGGAGAAAATGGCCAAGGTAAGCATGATTTATTGTTTCGTGTTACTGCATGAATAAACTTGAGTGAATTTCTCCGACCACTTACTGTAACTCTTTTAAGGCTTAAAAGTCTTATTTACATTTGGACCGCGTCTTATTCTCATATGGAGTGAAATAGTGAACACTTCTTGAATTGACATATTACACTGCGTGCGACCCTTTCAGGTGATGGGAAGTTTAGCCGCCGAAAAGCCTGAGCACGGAAAACCATTGTCGGGAATTCTTATCAAACGAGGCTTTAATTATCATCTGATTGCACCAGATGATCTCCAAAGTAAGTCCGCTGACAATGTGCTGTGAAGCGTCGCACCGCACTGCATCGCGCCGCATTGCATTGTTCGTAATTTCCATACTTGAAGATCAGAGGAAATACTTTAGTTTTACCTTGATGACTGCTCGCACATTGACTTACCTGTACCAAGCATAGCAAAGACGAATAAGAGCTAGGTTGAAGAACTTTAGATGAAAGCAATCTGACACCAGCTACCTGTGGATTGTGGGAAATAGTTGCACGCTCTTCAATCTCTAAGAATTTAAACAGAATTTCAAGAATATTACAACTTTACGTGTGCTGTTATCCTCTTATCTACCAAATCCAGACAAAAAAACTTTTCCTTAGCCTTTTGCCCGTAATGTTTGCCTTGGACTACTAAAAGACGTTTTCTTCGAGCCCTAATTAACCTAGGAGAATATGATAAGTTTCGATATTTATGGTTCCTCTACATGTAGCTTGGCTCCCTTTGCTAATCATTGATTTCATTTTTTCCATTTTTTTTACAGATTACACGGAGCTATCCACGAGTGTTCTTACTCAGGTATGAAAATTAACATGACTCAGCATTATACTTTGAGAACTGGGAACGAGATCATCGAAATAACCAAACCGTACTGACATCATAATTCCCAAAGAAGTGTGCTGAAAATATTGTTGGTATACGAAATTACTTTATTAAAACGACATAGAACTTGCAAAAAAATAGTAGAAGAACACTGCAATGGTAGAAATGCACCTTTTGCAAAGCAAGATTGATTTGCATGACCGCTGCTTACGTTCTAAAGAGATTTTCTGTTTGCCCTGACCATTTTTTTAGTTGTATTTTCTTTTCTCCTCTAGAAACAAACTGTGGCTTTCCACGGTGCCTTCTCCCTTCTTCTGCAGTGCATGGAGAACTTAGCTGGTGAGGTGGAACAACTCTCATTACAGGGAGGCAAACTCGCGCTGAAAGTGTTTAAAGCTGTCACAATCGTTCAGGAGAAACGAAGCGTTGTTGTGGAGGTACACAATAGTGCTATTTGTTCTTCTCGGTGTGACTTTATATTAACTTAGATGAGACTTCCGCTGTGTTCCTAGCGTTTCTTTAGGCGAAAGCTGAGCAACATCTCTTGTGTTCTTGTCGTTTTCCTTGCTATTGCCATGGATGTTATAGGTCTGTCGATTGATGACAGTCTTGTTTCCTTTTAGTGGATAGCAAACCCTGTGAACGACATGTACGCCGATGCTGTCCTGGCCGTGATTTTACAAGTTGAATCTAATCCCACAGCTGTTCAAGGTGACTGATTTGACTTGGACTGTTGTACTGAACGCATGTTTGCCTCTATCTTCAGTGTGTCTGTGTGATACACAAGTAACTCCTTGTTTCCAATTGGTGGCTGTAAGACTATGTAAGAAAGGCTTAGTTTGACCTCTGTTTTTTAGGCCCTCTTCCATATTTGACAATTAGGTTACGAACTCGATATTCTATCACATGATAATTGATGAAAGCGAAGCCCAGACTACCTATTTCGCCTGGAAATCGAGAGCGTATTATGTAATTGTTTAGTGTAAATATACTTGTCGACAGGTACAAGCTCATGTTTTTATTTCATATTTATAACACCACACAATGTTTGGGTACTCACTTTACACACGATCTATCGCGGTGTTGGTAGCAAATAGCACAACCAATCAGATTGCAGCATTTTTGTTAGAGCGCAGTTTACTTTATATTAATTTTAATTAGTTGGTGTCGATAGCTCTGAATGTTGTCACGAATTTTCCATTGATCATCAACTAACTTCCCTTTGACTCTTTGTTTCGACAGCTGCTCGTGCTAAGAAGCCAGATATAAGTCAGTTTCCAGAAAGGTATTTTTGTTTGTCTTCCTGTTTCTGTTTTCGTTTCTCCTTATCTTAGATTTGCCCTTCTCTAGAAATACAGGTGGTCCTCTCTTTGGAGTGATACACCTTTATTCTGGGGACGCCTCCAACCAAGAGGCAATTTTTCTGACCACTGAAAAAAGGCTCATTTAATCTGTGTTTGTTGCCTTGGAGAGAAATCTCCATGAAAGGAATGGTATATTTAGTCTTAAGATTGTCCCCGGAATGGAGTTTCTACTAAATAAGATTTGTTGATTGAAATGACTCTGAGGCAGTTGCAAAAGCTGAGGATACTTGAACGTCGTTATGTCAATGATTAGATAACTGTTGATTCCCCCACCGCTTCAGCCTCAGATTAACTTAGAGGTATTGTTTTCCTCGCCCTGACCACTACCGATACCAACTGTGACATAAGTTGGTAGGACAAAGTCCCTTATATAATTCACACGAATGGACAACCAGACCTTAAAGTGACCTGTCACTAATGGCGAGCTTTCTATCTTGGACTTATCGCCAGAGAGTTTGGCCTCCAATCAGGAATCAAACCTTAGAACCTCAGGTTACCAATGATCTCGTGGCTCGGCAGGCCATTCACTCAGTCCATATATGAGAAGGAACGAGGAGAAAGAGAGAGGGAGAAGTGGGTGAGACTCCTGGTCTAAACATTAGCATCTGGAAAGGGGATCTCAGTTTACGTCTAGAAGTCAAAGTTAATTCATTGGAATTAACAAGTCCCCGCCAACGCCCAAACTTCCTCTCTTTGCAAACAAGCACCCTACACACTATTCAGGTCACTGAGTGATCAAAGTATTTGTTCATTTACTCGCCACCGGCTCTCCTTTTATCCAACAGACTGATGAGGCTTTTAAGCGGCACTTACGGCGAGGATGCTGTGACAAGAACCACAAAGGGAGACCAAATCTCCGTCAAGTTGGACGGACAGATAGCTGTCATCGACCTTGAGACACTGGTAAGATGTCGGTCAACTGTATGACAAATTTTAACAAAGTCACAACAGCGATTGATAGAGTGACTGATTGCTATTATCTTATTTTACCTTTCAAAGGAGGTAGAATGCTCGGATGAAAGTCTACAGAGTCACGTGGCCTGTACGGTGAAACGACTTCACAATACTATGGTACCTTGCCATTCCTGAGATAAATGGAGATGAACGGCACCCTCAGGATGAAAAAAAGCATGTAAAATCAAGTTAAAAAACGCACGTAGTCGCCTGTAACTTTAAATCCTTTGTAGAAACCTTCACGTGCAGTATCACGCCTATAAAAATAGACAGAACTGTCGTTTGCATCTCACGGTTTCATTTGACTTTATATTTTACAAAGAGCAAGAGGCAGGAACGCCTCGCTGTGTTTCTCTCATGCCCTGTCTCAGATCATACCAGTTTACATCAACCCCTTAAAGAACATTTGACTTGAGAACTCAAGAAGTCTCATTAAAACATTACTTAATTAATAAACGACAAAACGCATCTCTTTTACCTCATTGTTATAGCGGATATTTTAGCATCGCATTTACTTGTAAACCAATATGCACGAGAAACAACCTATTTCACTGGTAAGGAATAAAGATTTATTCATTTTGAAATTGGAATCGTAGAGGCTCCGGTGGGTTCGTGGATTCGAAGAAGCAAAGCAACTGACCGAACCAATTATGGGCAATTCAACTGAATTTTTATTTAATCCGCAAATTATTGCTGTGCTAGTCTTTATCAGAAAACTCTACAATAACTGTAGGACTCACTTGAGCAATTACATCCAATTCTATATATTATTGAAAAATCTCGGATACTTCGCTGAGCCTGCCGAGTATTTGTACTCTGTTTTACTAATATAACTAAGGAAATATACTGAAAAACTTGTGCGGAACAATTACATTCACTGGTTTGGTTGTCAAGGAATCTTCACCGCTGAGCCCACGAGGTCTTCGGGGCAAGTATTGTGCAAATTTAATGGCGCTAGCTGGTCAAGAGATGCTTATTTCTAGTAGAGTAGCATGTATCAGAGAGGTCATATAATTAAGCGATTATGTAATCTCAAATTGAGCTCGATTATTGCTATGAACAAACCAACCCTCCATGAATTAAACACCCAGTTTTCAGTTAAATGTTTGAAACTTTAGTAGGTAAGAGTGGTAACTTTCTTGAAGTGAACTAGACCAGTATTTCGAGAAGTAATGAAAACATAAACTAGGGGTCTAAAATTCCTGATCCAGATAGATTTACGATTTACAATTAAGTTTCCGGTGCCGCTCTTTGCGTTCACATCCTAGTAAAGGGGCGAGAACACCATTCACAAACAGCCATTTTCGTTTGTGTTTGCTTGCTGTCCTTGTACTCTGGGTCAACTAAAGGTAATGGCTCTAAAGAGCTTGTTCGCACAGCTGATCGTTTGCGTAGGAAGTCATCACTCAAGGTCCACCAGCTCTTGTGTGACACGCTCCCATTTGTGATACGGGGCAGTCGCACAAAACGTTGCCTCACAGACAATGTATGGCGAATTGAATTCTGAAAAGAAAAAGCATCGTTTATGATTACGCTTTCGACCTGCTATTTAGGTTTCAAGATGATTCTCCATAACTCAGAGATACTTAGTAGATAATAAGAAGAACGGTTTCAATAGCAACGATTTCAGGGATTTAAGCAAGAATTGCTTATAGAGGCCTTCTGGAGGAACACGCCTAAAATATGCACAATGAATTTCGTTCAAAGTTTCACATGTGGTAAGGAAGTCAGTATCAGACACTGGGCAGCCAACCTTTGATTGTGAAACATATTCCAGAATACCTAGCGACATAAGTGACCCTTCCAAAAGAGGCCAAACACCACTAGGCAAAGAACAGCGATGAAGGAACTGATCAAGCGGTACCTTAAGTATGACGAAGCACATGTTAAAGCAAGGGGAAGGGATTAGAGGCGAGATGTGGTTGCATGGGGACGACGAAGTTGGGTTTAGCTTTGTGATAACCCTCGAATAGAGATAAGCCCTTATGAAATTAGACAAGAAAAACTCGACTAAATCTGAGGTATTGCATGTAATGACGAGCCTGAATGAAATTTATTTCTGTTTTCCTGAGCAAAAACATGCTTTAGTTTATGTGAAAGTTGGAATAGCTCTTTCATTTGTCAAATTGTGAGTTCTGTACCTTCCATCCGGATGAGGATATCTCGTCTCCTTTGTTTCTGAAATATGGAATATTTAGTGTAATCCATCGATAAATCTCGTCCAGTGTCATTTTCTTCTCTACACGAGATGCAAGAGCCATCGTTATGAGATCTGAGTAGGAGCCTTTACCCCAGGGATTATTAGAGCCCGGCCTTCCTCCACCAGTGTCTACCCCCTGAAGTTGATTTCGCCTTAGCGGGTGGTATGAGTAGCCATTCGACGTGTTCTTTGAGATTCTGATGACTGGTGGCTTGTCACGTGAAGAGGTCGATACACTGCTACTGGCTGCCCCAACCTATGACAGGAATTCAAAAGATAACTTTAACGACGCTGATAGAGTAAAGGCCCGGCCAAGCGCGTGGAATAGTTTAACCCAACACTGTTGGATCGGGTTGTGAGATGTGAAGGACGTGGCCAAACAAGTGCAGCATCTTGCAACATCAAAAAATGTTGCAATAACAAAATAATTAACCATTTTCAAACTTGATCCAATATCTTGCAACATTTTGCAACATGGTTCTATATTCGCTTCTACATTCGTTTCTTCAATCGCAGTGCACATTTATGATTTTAATATATTTACAGCCATTATCCAACCCTATAGAGTTAATAAATAACTCATCGATTATTTCTTTCGTTGCACTGTGTATTATGCTTGTTTACATTGGTACTTGTTATTGATCACAAAGAAATCGTAGTTTTACTCCCTTTCCAAATGACTTCTTTCGGTGGTCGTGCCTCGAGATGCTTTTGTTTTCCTCCTCTTCACGGTTTGATGAGAAAGGACTTGAAGAATGGACATTTTCCTGTGGAAGAGTATTAGAGAGGGTTTCCTATTTCACGAGAACAAAAAAAATATTGTTTTGATTGAGTTTGTTGCTCTGTTATTCAATTACAAACGTTAAGAATAAATGGTTCGGCTAGGTTAGTTTTGTATCCATTGCAAAACTTTGCAGTTATCGATATGGGTTGGACATTTTTATTATTTATATATGCTAATTTTGTTCGTTTTGAATTCTCTTTTGTTTCTGCCAAATAAAGCAAAATTATAATTTTCGTAATTATTGTTAGTAATGGTGGTAGTAGTAGTAGGGATAGTATCGTTATTAGTATTATTATTATTATTATTATTTTATACCGTTAAAATGGTGAAACAAAACTGAATTAAAACACATCTGTAAATCTCTGTAGACGTTTATTGCTACAACTGATAGTTGCCTCACATAATTTGCAGCTCTTAAGGGAAAATTTAACAAAGAGCCACCCAGTGTACCTGTTAAGGGACCGAAAAAATCGATTTTTCTTTTCTTTAGGCTGAATTCAAACATTTATCCTATCGTTCCCATAGAAAAAAATTTTTCTGAAATCTTTAAAGCACCTGAGTGATTTAGAAAAACGTATCTTTAAATAAAAGTTAGTAAATCAGGAAGGTGTCATAATCTCAAACCTGGGCGAATCCCCTGAGGGAATTTTCCCGGCAACCGCTCATGTTGAGGCTCGATTTTCATGCTATTTCCATATTTTGTTCACATCGCGCACTTTACAAAATTGACCAAAATTGGAAAAATCTTTGCTCGTGGAAGAATCAAAACCCCTACTATCATCATAACTGATTTCATCGTCACTTTTTTCATTATAATCAGTATTGATTTAGTAACTTAATTTTCCCCCTTCCCCCCCCCCCCCGTAAGAAGTGTCCATTCCTGCTGTACTACGTCAATCTTTCTTAACCCCCACGTTATAAAAACGAACACTTTTCATTCAACTAATTTTTTCTTGTGTTTTTCACGTTATCATGTTCCTACCAATAGCATATCCCCATTTTTCTGTACATATATATATACCACATACAACACACAACTTCTCATTTGCTCTGACGAAGGGCTAACGCTCGAAGCCTCGGCTTAACGAACTCTTTACGGTGACCAATTTACGGTATCGAAACAGCTGATAAAACCAAATTAACTAAATCATTCATATATAAGAATAGTAAATTGTACTTCCTTTGCCATTTTAATTTTAGAAGCTCCAAATTTTACTTGTTGAATCGTTTGCTCCGTCTGAGCCATGTCTTCACTGCCATCTTCTTGACATGGAGCGTACTGAGGGTTCGAAGAAGCCGGTTCCTTTTGAGATGAAAATGTATCCATTAGTAGGAAAAGTCTTGATAAAAGAGTGAATTAGGTAAAATATTTGTGTCACACCACCTATGGGCTAAATATGTTCTTCAAAATTGCTCTAAAGTATCTGAGCTTATCCCGGCTCATTTAGCATAAAGCGGCAAAATTTATGGATCAAAGGTTATTAATATTCAGCGGTTGGGCATTATTCTAACCAGGAGGTCATAATGTTAATAATGTCCTCAATAGCTGGCGTATCCTCTCCACACCGAGTACTTTAACAATTTTGCAACACCACCACCAAGTCTGACGAGTCTAAATTTGATCATCTTAAGAAGAAGGCATCAAACGGTAGGTGACTGGTCCTGCACTTAAACAAGCTAGAGAAAGGGATTGTTTGCCTTGCTTGAAGATTCTCACCTCCACTTTCCCTTTCAGAAACCTTGGATCCGTGTTTATTCTGTCGCTGGCTAAGGGAAGTCCTCTGACAGGGTGGTTCAACTGCACAGGGAACATATCATTGCAAGCATTTTCAAAATTTCTCCGATGCAATGATGGCAGGTTCGGCAGCACGTTAGAAACCGTTACGTATGGGTGATAATTTATCCCAGGGATAAATCGTTGCTTTCCATTTCCCGTGGAAAACTAGATCATTTAATATGAAAAATATTCAGTTAACCTATCGTCATCTCTTTCTACCGCAAAAGTAATACTTTTCTCTTTGAATAAGTTTAGTCCAAACCAACAATGAACTCAGTTTGATTTCGAGAAACTAGTTATCTTTAAGATTATCTGTTGAAGTTTTTTTGCGAATATGAGCCAACAAACCAAAAATTAGCCTTCGAGCAGACCTTTATGGGTGCTGTCGTACGGACGATGATGACACGAGCACGAGAGACGCCGGCAAAGAGCATGACGCATCTTGCGAGCACACTGGCTAGCACGTCTTTCTGATCCGCTTCTCATGATGCAGCGCGTATGAGAGTTCGACTCCCACATAGTTCTAACTTACCGATCTAAAGTGACTTGGGCACCTCGACATCTCACCAGAATCCAATATTTTGTGCACGGGTGAGTGCAATGAAATTTCTTTGCCGCTCTGCCGTGCCATTCCGGGCTCCACCATGGCTTCGCCGCTACTATACAAGAAGTATCCATGATCTTCATACGACTGGTGATGACTTGTCCCATTAGTGAGTATCGAGCGTCTATTGTTTTCATTATTAATCCATTTATCTCCGAACTTGATTTCATCTTTCGTTTCACTTTTGGCAGTTACATATCGACCAGAACTAAGGGTCTTTGCGTTCCTGCTTTTAAGTTTGTTATCTTCAACAGGGATCGTGTCTCCAATTTCCGGCACATTCCTCCCCAATATATCATGGTTTTTCAGACTAATTGGCAGTTCATCGAGGTCACCTAAGAAGAAAACATGGCCTTTTTACTAATTCTAAGTTAACCGTTTCCCATGCACTGCCAATTACTGACGAGTCTCACATCACTTTAACAAAATGCTTTTTCCTTCTCTTGATAGGTAATCCGGCTTTGTTACTCTCCCCTCCCTGACACAAGTTCATTTTTAAAGGGCTCTTTTGTACAACTTGCTTTTTATCTTATTTATAAGCGTAAACCATACCTCTTTCTCTGAATTCAAATTTGTCAGTTTGAATTGGGTAGGCATGAGGTTCCTCTTTTGATAATCTCTTCCATGGTAAGTCATCCATTCCACAATCTTTCCTATTCACTGCTAATCTACTTCTTTCCTTCGTACATTTTACGGTATTCTCTCGAAGGCGCTTGCACGGTATTCCTTTCCTCGAGCGTTGTTTGGGTGTTCCCAGTGCACACGGGGGACTACGGTCAAACTGAAAGAATGCGTTTCCCCGATGTTCATCATTCTCCGGACAGCCAGCGAACTGACAGTTTTTACTCTCCGACATCATCCTCGACTGTATGTGGGAAATACATCTGTGTTGCCCATTTTTGACTCTGTGTTCATTTTGGCTGATACCTGGGCTACTGTTTTGAGGATCATCTGTCTTACAACTCTCGATGAGAGCTTCATTACAACAGCATCTGCGGACAACCTTTGGCATATAAACTTGACAGTTTACTTTCTTCACTGCATTTCGTCTGTCTGTTTTATGGTTCCCCGTGTCCCACGCCATGATAACCTTTTGCCTTTTTGTATTACCCTCAAACTCATCCCCAAAACTTGCTTTGCGTTTCTTTGCTGTATTTATTGTCTTGGTATGTCCAATTTGGCTCCCTGATAAGAACATTATATGATTGATAAATGTAAATAAAGAGTGTCACTACTTTTCGTGAACTAAATTTTATAGGGAATCAGCTTATTGTTAATAATTTAGGATTGCAAGGGGTGATGATCAACCTCTGGGTTTCTATATTATCTCTAAGAATCGCTTTTAAGTCGTGAACAACTTGTTTTTTTTTTTATTCAGGTTTTCATATGCATTCAATCGAATTAATTTTTCTAAGAAATGTTTTAAGAAGGAATGGCTATCATAATCTTTTCAGCGAATTATGTCCATGAAATACTGAAAGATACACTTTTGATGGCAAACTTTCGATCAGTTAGGTGAAGGGACGTCACATATTCCTGATTGATTAATGTTTATGAGAGATAATCTCAAAATCTTTGTTCACAGCCTCGACACCAGAAATAAATTGATCGCAATGAGACATCCCGAGAAACGTTCTCGGTCTGAAAGGGATTGCCATTTATACGAAAAAAATCATGGAATGATTTGCAGTACTTCCTGAAATTCTTTGGTCCGGTTCAAACGTCGAACTTTACTTGTGCCGAACCTAATACCAATTTGGGTCTACCCAAATGATTAAGTTCGGCAGTTGATTCAAACGTCGAACCTAATGAAGTCAAACTTAATTTGAAGAGTGGACATGAATCTATTGTAGTCGGCGGTTATTGCTCACCAAAATGGAGGGAAAAAACTCGGGAAAGACAAATTGTCGAAATGAAGAACTTATTTTTCTTGTAATTCCGATGAAGGAGGGAAGAAGAAGGCGACTCAAGATGCAGTTAGCATTAAATAGGCATTAAATAACCTCGCTGCCAAGAGGAGACGGGTTTTCAATCTGGCTTGTCTTCTATTATTACTCGTTTCTCATTCCTCGTTTCTCGTTCGTTTCTCGTACTTTTTGTTGGCTAAAAAGAAATACTGGCTGGTGGAAAAATGTTCGCCACACCTATTCAGAGGCAAGGTTCATGAAAACCTTCCGAGTGTCCTAGGTAATATTTAACTTCATCCTGAACCGTATTGAACCCTTCCTTATTCGGCAAACTGTGACGACGGAAGAACCGATATCGCCAGCACTGAGGCTTGCTGTTTGTCTGTATAGACTAGGCAAAGGAGATTATCTCTATACCATTGCAGAAATGGCTTCTCTTTCCACTGGTCTGATTTGGGAAATCTGCTTCCTAATCATTGCCTTCGCTTTCCCCAAGATTCACTTTTGTTGTCATTTTCTCTCGAAAACATGACTCGCAGTACGCCACCGTATTGCTTCCTTACACCCCACTACTTTCTCATCGTTTTAAAACACGGAACACCGCATACAGAAGTAGTTCACGCACCTCCGGCATGTATATTTCGTGCTCTCGAAGCAAGAGGAACAAATATTCTCCGCTCTTCTCGCCTTTTTATTGCGTAACAAGTTGGGTGCACATGACAAATATACGAAACGAGCAGAACTCTGGGTGAAAATTAATTAATTGAATGTATTTGTTATATATGTGTATGCATTAGATTCGGCGCATGAAACGGTTCGACGTATGAAATGAAGTCGATCTTTTGCCGTTCGATTCGACAAGCCTGGTCGAATAAAACGGCAGGTCGACCCAAATACAAATCTGTCGCACCTAATTGATTCAAACGTCGAACTTTACATGTGCCGAACCTAATTATTAGATTCGGCACCTGTAAGGTTCGGTGTTTGAACCGGGCCTAATACTGTGATTTGTCACGGAAATCAATTGCAAGTAATTAAACGCCTTCTTGATATAACGGAATAATAACCGGCAAGATCAAAGAGTCTCTCGACGCAGAGGCAAGTCTAATGAGTTAGTCGAAAGTTAATTGTCAGTAACGAAATTAAAATATAAGTACTTGGTTTCATGACGCGTTTATCTTGAATAACACAACAAAACGCCTTGCAATGAAAATATTTTCGTTACGTTCATGTACATAATCGAATGTACGCGGCAAGATCAAAGTCTCTCGACGCAGAGGCAAGTCTAATGAGTTGATCTAAAGTTAATTGTCGGTAACGAAATTAATATCGAAGTACTTAGTTTCATGACGCGTTTATCTTGAATAACACAACATAACGCCTTGCAATCAAAATATTTTCGTAACGTTCAGTTACAAGTGTTAAGGAAAAGGCAATCGTAAAAGCGCACACATATGGCCAATTTGATTTCTCATTTCACTCGGCAGTTAAAACTTATTGAATTAATGCTTATCCGTATTTCAGTATCGATAACGATATTTTATACAATTATTGTAGAGTTGCTTACTCAGTGCGTGAGAAATGCTTCCTACCTCTACTATCGTTAAGCTCTTGCAATCCTCCACTTCCGTTTGTCACTTCATGTTTCAGATCGTTAACTGGACTTTTTCCATCTTCTCCTTCGCTTGATGTCTTACTTTCACTGGTCTCACCGTCCTCTGCAAATTGAACAACATTATGCAAATGCCATTATGAAAATTAACAAATTGAGACTGTTGTTTTAACAGCAAAAAGAGTGTTAAAGAAACTGGAAATGGTTTTCCTATCCTCTTCAAAGCTTATAACATTTCTTTGTTTCAACTATTTTTGTTGTGTGATACAGACAAAGGAATCGAAGTTTCGGTATTGGGCAGTGAAAAAGTAATTACAAAAACAGAACATTGATGTGTTTTCTTACATATATGGCAAAAGCTCTGAAAGTCTGAAAGGCTTTAAAAACATGAATTCATGAACTTGATGTTCTACGTGCAAAAAATTATGATAACATGATCACATTTTCACTGCCGATTAGGAGCGGTTGCAGACCAAGGCTAATCATTTTCGTTCCTGAGTTATGGCTATCAGGACATGCTATGGGGACTTGATATTCTTAGAAAGACAAGATTAGTACGGCGTTGTTTTTTTAGCCTCTTAACTAAATGCATAACCGCCAGGTTTGTCTTCCACCTTGACTTTGAGGCTCACTTTCTTCATCTTCTAATTCAAGTTTCAGCCACTGGTTCGTGTTTTCCATGATCGCTGCCTTACTTTCGTCAGTCCGTTTGCTTCCTGTATTTCAATCACAAATGTCATAATTACTGATTTAAATTCAGTTCGGACAGATAATTGAATGGTGCGCACAAACGTTCAAGAAACTGCTGAAAACGGTGGAACATACCAGCAAAAAAACCAAACTACTCACCCTCAAATGACTTTTTTCCTATCAGCGTGGTGCGATTTTTTTTTTCGCAAAAATATGCCTTACCGTGCAGATGAAAAATTTCCCTCCACCTTCAACGTCAGTTTTGATGGTGTTTCATCGGGGAGACTTGCACATTTAATCTGATTTTCTGGAAAATAGTAGTTTATAGAAGTGGACAGCGTTGATGTTTTCCCGTCAAACTGGTTTATCAAGATTGGTACCAACTACAATAACCAATAACATTTCAGGCCTCAAAGCGAGGTAACCTGACGAACACGTTTTGTCGAGTCGATGTCTGCTTCTCTGATTTGTGGAATACCATCCAATAGAAAATGTGCGACATTCACCCGAACTCCACACTCGACCTTCAATAACTAAATGAATAAGAAATAGAAGGTAACTTCTTTTTTTCACAACTCTGTTTTGTTTAAAAAAAAAATTCAGTAGGTTTTGACTTCCAAAAAAAAAAATGACTGCATCCTAATACCTAATGTTTACGATAATAATGTTAATAACAAACATACAAATCATGCTCGCCTAATCTTTTTCCAGTGCTGCAATGATAAGAGTGACAGACCCCATGAGTTCGCTTTTTGATTTTTTTTTACAGAAAAAAAATAACTCAATGTTAGCGTGTAGAGTGTTATGTTTCTCGCACCAATCGGATTGCCGCATAATGGTATGTAACTCGCACCAATCATAACAGCATTCGGATTTTGCACTAATCTCAGCGTTTAGGTATTGTTTTCTTGCAAATGATGTCATGGAATCAGGAGGCTGTGCACAAAGAATGGCATTAACCAGAAATTTGGGGCTTATTTGATAAGTGTAATGGTTTGTGGCCTTCGCGAGAGCTTCCTTGATTAAGGTTGAGCGTTATCGGGAAATGAAAGGTTTGCATTTGACTTTTTGCATTAAATTTAACTTTTTTTTACGCACCTTTACTCACAACGCCCACGCCAAACAACTTGCAAGAGAGTTTCCCACACAATTCTCCCGCGTTTTGTCTTTTTCTACGAATAAAATTCGCTTTTAGCTACATGAGACTTAACCCAATCGCCTGTTAATTCCTTGTAAACAGCTCGAATTTCAGTCACGTATTTCACGCACAGAGCGCAAAGTCCAGATAGGCAACAACCAATCAAGGAGACCTCTTTGAAATATCATCTTTTTCTCTTGTTCAATGTATCTTCACTTTATTCGAGATCGCAATATATCTGCGGTTAGGGTCTATTGGAAATACAACAGACTCTCAGTTTGCTTTTGGATAGTAAAATAACGTGGAATTATATTCTTGAGGCAACTAACTGTAGAAGAATAATTTTGATATCTGTCTGGTAGAGGAATGGCAGTAAGCGTAGTCTCCTTCGCAACCGTTATCTGGTCTTGTTACGCAACGCGCTCTCTCTTTCGTTCTTTTGAAAGGTATGCTTTATTTCTGCTACAAAAATTAAAATATAGGTTGCACAAAGTGTCCCATCTCAACCCAGCCATCTCAACCCAGCCGAAAAAATAACTCACTTTCTTCCTTGCATGCCCTGGTTCCATTGCTTGTATGTGTTTTTTTAATTATTGAAACTGGTATAGCGCAGTAATTAACCATTCTAGTTATACCTAGGTTCAGATAATTGTTCCATTTTTTTATATTATGCACTGACTATAACTATTTCAATTATGTACTGACTATAACGCTATAACGCTATCCCCTATTGACCAAAGCAATGAGCTGTTCTGATAACATTAATAATCATAAAAATTACGATTTTCTCGATTGTGATTGGTTTCCACTAATTCACTGGCCAACTTGTTAGCGGACAGTTTGTTATAGTTCAATGAGCCAATCACATTCAAAGTTGTACTTAAAATCAACCAATCCATTTTCCATTTTCTATTGCGAATTCTCATTCTGTTAAACCAAGAGAATATAAACTGTTTCCATATCCTTAGTTAAACCTTGTTGAACCAAACATGTTTCGCTGCTGTGAAGGACACAGCAGTTATAAACTTTAGCAAGCTCAAAATTAAACAAAGAATCAACAGAGGCAGCAAAACCTCCACGTTTTAGGAAAAAGATTTAATTAAGGCAAGACTTCAGTCAGGAACCATAAAGGTCTGAATTTTCAAAATTTGCCGGCGGAGGATGGCATCTGAACCCCTACTTTGGGATTGGCCTTAGGCCCACAATTAAACACCCAAAGCTGTGCAAACTTTTTCCTACTGACAGGCTTGCACCAGCTAGCTCTCGATACGCCAGCTTTTCAAAAGTTTCAAAGCGGTTTTTTAATCTTTGAATTCTAGATGGTAGTCGTACCACACGCCGAGCCGGAATTCCTGAACCCTAGAGGTCGGCCAATTCACTGCAAATTTGATTCAGACGCCATTATAGCCACCGTCAATTAAGCTCTGCTAACTACAAGGGCAATGTGAGAGGCACGCTCTCTGAAACTTGCCTGTGTGATTGCTTTGTTGATGTGTCCATTTACGGAGCTTTAACTATAAATGAATATCACTATCCGTGTTCCCTTCAAAGTTCTTTTGGCTTACGTCACGATCGACTATACCCCCCCACCCCCACCCCCACACAACCACACGCACGAAGAAAGCAATACAGCGTATAAGCTGAAAGAGCCGTCGCTTTATGATAAGAAATACAGGCCCCTCTCTAGCATGCTGCCTGCCTGCAAAGACCCACATAAACCGCTATCTTATACCAAGCAGAACCGTCTCTAGATAAAATCATATGCAAAATGAAGCTACTTCGTAGATCTTTTCTGCAACTACCGATGTCCCAGTTGCCGTTGACTCTTTTCATTTACTCAAAAAGAAAAGAAATTTTAAGAAAAATTGCTTGCAATCAAAAAGTTACCATTTGATCGTGGTATTAGAAGCAGAGTTCATCGCGGTAATTATTTTCCATTCCCTGAATAACATTTCCGAATCGTTCGAAACCTAAGTTGGGATTTTGGCTTCGGATATTATCAGCAGCATTTTTTCGTACTTTCGCTTTGCGTCTGTGATTTATTTTCAAGATCAATGCCCATCGTTTGTCTCAATGACCTCTCTGCAGTTTCTTCAACGTCCAAAGGCAAACAGGTGTTCAATATAAAATCAAAAACTTTCTGAACGTTTTTGCCCGATTTTGCACTCGTTTTAAAGAATAGTTTCTCGTTGAAACTACCGGTAAGTCTTCCCTTCATTTCATTTTGTTCCAAAGCTAATATTCTGCTAGCGGAGGACGCAATCTCTTGAGAACTGCTCGTTATAAGACTTTTTTGGTGCCTACTACCATCACAAGACAGTTTGGTTCGGATGCGTTCAGCAGTTGTAGATAGCGCTCCCTTAGCGCGCAAAGAGATTTACCCTGTGAGATGTCATCGATCTTGAGACACTGGTAAGATGTCGTTCAACTGTATGACAAGGTTTAACGAAGTCACAACAGCGATTGATAGAAGGACTGATTGTTATTATCTTGTTTTTCCTTTCAAAGGAAGCAGAATTCTCGGATGAAAGTCAACAAAGTCACGTGGCCTGTACGGTGAAACGACTTCACAATACTATGGTACCTTGCCATCCCTGAGATAAATGGAGATGAACGATACCCTCAGGATGAAAAAAAACATGTAAAATCAAGTTAAAAAACGCATGTATTCACCTGTAACTTTAAATCCCTTTTAGAAACCTTCGACTGCAGTATCACGCCTATAAAAGTAAACAGAGATGTCTTTTGCATCTCACGGTTTCATTTGACCTTATGTTTTACAAAGAGCAACGGGCAGGAACGTCTCGCTGTGTTTCTCTCATCCCCTGTCTCAGATCATACCAGTTTACATCAACCCTTTGAGGAACATTTGACTTGGGAACGTAAGAAGACTCATTAAAAAATTTCTTATTTAAAAAACGACAAAACTTTTACGAGACACAACCTATTTTATGTACGAGACACAACCTATTTTACTGGTAAAGAATAAAGATGTATTCCTTTTGAAATTGGAATCGTAGAGGCTCTCCTGGGTTCGTGGATTCGAGGGAGCAAAGCAACTGACTGGATCAATTATGGGCAATTCAACTGAATTTTTATTTAATCCGCAAATTATTGCTACGCTAGTCTTTCTAATAAAACTCTACAACTACTGTAGGACTCACTTAAACAATTACATCCAATTTTATATATGTAATTGAAAAATCTGGGATGCTTCGCTGAGCATGCCGAGTATTTGTACCCTGTTTTACAAGCTTTTACTAATATAACTAAGGAAATATACTGAAAAGGTCTTCGGGGCAAGTCGGGGCAAGTGTTGTGCAATTTAATGGCGTTAGCTGATCGAGGAGCATGTATCAGAGAGGTCATATAATTAAGCGATTATATAATCTCAAATTGAGCTTGATTATTGCTATGAACAAAGCTATCCTCCATGAATTAAACACCCGGTTTTCAGTTAAATGTTTGAAACTTTAGTAGGTAAGAGTGGTAACTTTCTCGAAGTGAACTAGACCAGTATTTCGGAGAAGTAATGAAAACATAAACTAAAGGTCTTAAATTCCTGATCCAGATAGATTTCCGATGCCATTGCTAGCCACTGAAATCGCAAGTGCACATAACTTCTAATATTTTGAGTAAGAAAAAACAAACACAAACAGAGAGCATTAAATCAAGAAACAAGGGATGCTAATAGTTTTTGCTCAAAAACGTAGAGAACTAACCATTCAAACCTTTGGTGAAGAATACAAGTGAAACTTAAAATGTCATTGCAAATGTCACTCAGAATATGCACATCACAGTAAGTCGTTAATCTTATTACGTCAAATGGACAATCGATCGTAAAGTTCTATTCTCGTCATATGACTCGAATGTCCTGATAAAATATTGCATGCAGAAATGGAAAAGAGTCGCCTTACGTAGCGTTACTAAACCAAGGCTCTCTGATTTAAATTTGGCGTTGGTTTCAAATTCAAGATTGTAGCGTTATATCAATTAAGTTTCCGGTGCCGCTCTTTGCGTTCACATCCTAGTAAAGGGGCGAGAACACCATTCACAAACAGCCATTTTTGTTTGTGTTTGCTTGCTGTCCTTGTACTCTGGGTCAACTGAAGGTAATGGGTCAACTGAAGGTAACGGGTCAACTGAAGGTAATGAGTCAACTGAAGGTAATGGCTCTAAAGAGCTTGTTCGCGCAGCTGATCGTTTGCGTAGGAAGTCATCACTCAAGGTCCACCAGCTCTTGTGTGACACGCTCCCATTTGTGACACGGGGCAGTCGCACAAAACGTTGCCTCACAGACAATGTATGGCGAATTGAATTCTGAAAAGAAAAAGCACAGTTTAATATTGCGCTTTTTACCTGCTATTTAGGTTTCAAGATGATTCTCCATAACTCAGAGATACTTAGTAGATAATAAGAAGAACGGTTTGAATAGCAATGATTTCAGGGGTTTAAGCAAGAAGTGCTTTTAGAGGCCTTCTGGAGGAACACGCCTAAAATATGCACAATGAATTTCGTTCAAAGTTTCACATGTGGTAAGGAAGTCAGTATCAGACACTGGGCAGCCAACCTTTGATTGTGAAACATATTCCAGAATACCTAGCGACATAAGTGACCCTTCCAAAAGAGGCCAAACACCACTTGGCAAAGAACAGCGATGAAGGAACTGATCAAGCGGTACCTTAAGTATGACGAAGCACATGTTAAAGCAAGGGGAAGGGATTAGAGGCGAGATGTGAGGGAACCACGAGGTTGGGTTTAGCTTTGTGATAACCCTCGAATAGAGATAAGCCCTTGTGAAATTAGAGAAGGAAAACTCGACTAGTGCCGAAAGATTTCACATCTCTATTAAATCTGAGGTATTGCATGTAATGACAAGCCTGAATGAAATTTATTTCTGTTTTCCCAAGCAAAAACATGGTTTAATTTATTTGGAAGCTGGAATAGCTCTTTCATTTGTCAAATTGTGAGTTCTGTACCTTCCATCCGGATGAGGATATCTCGTCTCCTTTATTTTTGAAATATGGAATATTTAGTGTAATCCATCGATAAATCTCGTCCAGTGTCATTTTCTTCTCTATACAAGATGCAAGAGCCATCGTTATGAGATCTGAGTAGGAGCCTTTACCCCAGGGATTATTAGAGCCCGGCCTTCCTCCACCAGTGTCTTCCCCCTGAAGTTGATTTCGCCTTAGCGGGTGGTGTGAGTAGCCATTCGACGTGTTCTTTGGGATTCTGATGACTGGTGGCTTCTTGTCACGTGAAGAGGTCGATACACTGCTACTGGCTGCCCCAACCTATGACAGGAATTCAAAAGATAACTTTAACGACGCTGATAGAGTAAAGGCCCGGCCAAGCGCCTGGAATAGTTTAACCCAACATTGTTGGATCGGATTGTGAGATGTGAAGGACGTGGTCAAACAAGTGCAGCATCTTGCAACATCAAAAAATGTTGCAATAACAAAATAATTAACCATTTTCAAACTTGATCCAATATCTTGCAACATTTTGCAACATGGTTCTATATTCGCTTCTACATTCGTTTCTTCAATCGCAGTGCACATTTATGATTTTCATATATTTACAGCCATTATCCAACCCTATAGAGTTAATAAATAACTCATCGATTATTTCTTTCGTTGCACTGTGTATTATGCTTGTTTAAATTGGTACTTGTTATTGATCACAAAGAAATCGTAGTTTTACTCCCTTTCCAAATGACTTCTTTCGGTGGTCTGAAACTTCGCGCCTCGAGATGCTTTTGTTTTCCTCCTCTTCACGGTTTGATGAGGAAGGACTTGAAGAATGGACATTTTCCCGTGGAAGAGTATTAGAGAGGGTTTCCTATTTCAAGACAACAAAAAAAAATATTGTTTTGATTGAGTTTGTTGCTCTGTTATTCAATTACAAACGTTAAGAATAAATGGTTCGGCTAGGTTAGTTTTGTATCCATTGCAAAACTTTGCAGTTATCTGTATGGGTTGGACATTTTTATTATTTATATATGCCAATTTTGTTCGTTTTGAATTCTCTTTTGTTTCTGCCAAATAAAGCAAAATTATTATTTTCATAATTATTGTTAGTAATGGTGGTAGTAGTAGTAGTAGTAGTAGTAGTAGTAGTAGTAGTAGGGATAGTATCGTTATTAGTATTATTATTATTATTATTATTACTATTTTATACCGTTAAAATGGTGAAACAAAACTGAATTAAAACACATCTGTAAATCTCTGTAGACGTTTATTGCTACAACTGATAGTAGCCTCACATAATTTGCAGCTCTTAAGGGAAAATTTAACAAAGAGCCACCCAGTGTACCTGTTAAGGGACCGAAAAAAATCGATTTTTTTTTTCTTTAGGCTGAATTCAAACATTTATCCTATCGTTCCCATAGAAAAAAATTTTTCTGAAATCTTTTAAAGCACCTGAGTGATTTAAAAAACGTATCTTTAAATAAAAGTTAGTAAATCAAGAAGGTGTCATAATCTCAAACCTGGGCGAATCCCCTGAGGGAATTTTCCCGGCAACCGCTCATGTTGGGGCTCGATTTTCATGCTATTTCCATATTTTGTTCACATCGCGCACTTTACAAAATTGACCAAAATTGGAAAAATCTTTGCTCGTGGAAGAATCAAAGCCCCTACTATCATCATAACTGATTTCATCGTCACTTTTTTCATTATAATCAGTATTGATTTAGTAACTTAATTTTCCCCCTTCCCCCCCGTAAGAAGTCTCCATTCCTGCTGTACTACGTCAATCTTTCTTAACCCCCACGTTATAAAAACGAACACTTTTCATTCAACTAATTTTTTCTTGTGTTTTTCACGTTATCATGTTCCTACCAATAGCATATCCCCATTTTTCTGCACATATATATATACCACATACCACATACAACACACAACTTCTCATTTGCTCTGACGAAGTGCTAACGCTCGAAGCTTCGGCTTAACGAACTCTTTACGGTATCGAAACAGCTGATAAAACCAAATTAACTAAATCATTCATATATAAGAATAGTAAATTGTACTTCCTTTGCCATTTTAATTTTAGAAGCTCCAAATTTTACTTGCTGAATCGTTTGCTCCGTCTGAGCCATGTCTTCACTGCCATCTTCTTGACATGGAGAGGACTGAGGGTTCGAAGAAGCCGGTTCCTTTTGAGATGGAAATGTTTCCATTAGTAGGAAAAGTCTTGATTAAAGAGTGAATTAGGTAAAATATTTGTGTCACACCTATGGGCTAAACATGTTCTTCAAAATTGCTCTAAAGTATCTGAGCTTATCCCGGCTCATTTAGCATAAAGCGGCAAAATTTATGGATCAAAGGTTATTAATATTCAGCGCTTGGGCATTATTCTAACGAGGAGGTCATAATGTTAATAATGTCCTCAATAGCTGGCGTATCCTCTCCACACCGAATACTTTAACAATTTTGCAACACCACCACCAAGTCTGACGAGTTTAAATTTGATCATCTTAAGAAGAAGGCATCAAACGGTAGGTGACTGGTCCTGCACCTAAACAAGCTAGAGAAGGAGATTGTTTACCTTGCTTAAAGATTCTCACCTCCACTTTCCCTTTCAGAAACCTTGGATCCGTGTTTATTCGGTCACTGGTTAAGGGAAGTCCTCTGACAGGGTGGTTCAACTGCACAGGGAACATATCATTGCAAGCATTTTCAAAATGTCTCCGATGGAATGATGGCAGGTTCGGCAGCACGTTAGAAACCGTCACGTAGGGGTGATAATTTATCCCAGGGATAAATCGTTGCTTTCCATTTCCCGTGGAAAACTAGATCATTTAAAATGAAAAATATTCAATTAACCTATTTTCATCTCTTTCTACCACAAACGTAACACTCTTCTCTCTGAATAATTTTATGCCAAACCAACAATGAACTCAGTTTGATCACGAGAAACTAAATATCTTTAAGATTATCTGTTGAAGTTTTCGTGCGAATATGAGCCAACAAACCAAAAATTAGCCTTCGAGCAGACCCTTGCTGTCGTACGGACGATGATGACACGAGCACGAGAGACGCCAGCAAAGAGCATGACGCATCTTGCGAGCACACTGACTAACACGTCTTTCTGGTGCGCTTCTCATGTTGCAGCACGTATCAGAGTTCGTCTCCCAAATAGTTCTAACTTACCGATCTAAAGTGACTTTGGCGCCTTGACATCTCAGCAGAATCCAATGTTTTGTGCACGGGTGAGTTTAATGAAATTTCTTTGCCGTTCTTCCGTGCAATTTCGGGCTCTACCATGGCTTCATCGCTACTATACAAGAAGCGTTCATAATCTTCATATGACTGGTGTTGACTTGTTCCACCAGTGAGTATGGAACATCTATTGTTTTCGCCATTAATCCATATATCTCCGAAATTGATTTCATCTTTCGTTTTCCTAACGGTAGTTACATATCGACCAGAACTAAGGGTCTTTGTGTTCTTGCTTTTGTGTTTGTTATCTTCAACAGGGATTGTTTCTTCAATTTCCAGCACATTCCTCCCCAATATATCATGGTTTTTCAGACTCATTCGTAGTTCACCGAGTTCACCTAAGAAGAAAACGGGGACTTTTTATAATTGTAGGTTAACCGTTTCCACTGTTACCGATGAGTCTCACATCACTTTGATAAGATGTTTTTTCTTTCTCTCGATCAGGTAATACGGCATAGTTACTCTCTCCTCCCTGACAAAAGTTCATTTTTTAAAAGGGTTTTTGGTACAACAGTTGGTTTTTTTATCTTATTTATAAGCGTTAACCATACCTCTTTCTCTGTATTCAAATTTCTCAGTTTGAATTGGGTGGGCATGAGGTTCCTCTTTTGATGATCTCTTCCATGGTAAGTCATTCATTCCACAATCCTCCCTTTTTTCTGCATATTTACACCTCTCCTTCTTAAATTTAACGGCATTCTCTCGAAGGCGCCTGCACGGTATTCCTTTCCTCGAACGTTGTTTGGGTGTTCCCAGTGCACTTGGGGAACTACGATCAAACTGCGATAATGCGTTTCCCCTATCCATTATGTGTTCATGATTCTCCGGACAGCCAGCCAACTTACAATTTGTACTCTCTGACATCATTTCCGACTGCATGCGAGAAATACATCTATGCTGCCGAATTTTGACTCTGTGTTCATTTTGGCTGATACCTGGGCTATTGTTCTGCAGATCATCTGTGTCACAACTCTCAATGAGAGTTTCATTAAAATGGCATCTGCGGGCAACCTTTGGCATCTGAACTTGACAATTTACTATCTTCACTGCATTTCTTCTGTCTGTTTTATGGTTTCTCATGTCCCATGCCATGATAACGTTTTGCCTTTTTCTACTCTCAAACTCGTCCCCAAAACTTGCTTTGCGTTTCTTTGCTGTATTTTTTGTCTTGCTATGACCAATTTGGCTCCCTGATAAGAACATTATATGATTGATAGACGTAAATAAAGAGTATCACTACTTTTCGTGAATTAAATTTCATAACGAATCAACTTATTGTTCATAATTTAGAATTGCAACGGCTGATGATCAACCCCTGTTGATCGATGTTATCTTACAGAATCGCTTTTAAGTCGTGAACACGTTACTTTTTAAATTCAGGTTTTCTTATGCATTCAACTTAATTAATTTTTCCAAGAAAAGCTTTAATTGCGATGTTTGGAGAATTTCTTTAAGAAGGAATGGCTATCATGATCTTTTCAGCGCATTATGTCCATGAAATGCTGAGAGATACACTTCTGATGGCAAACTTTCGATTAAATTTGGTGACAACTTCATTGCTCTCCTCCTTGCAACTTTAAGCATAGACCTTTAGCTGCCGATGTGGGAGCTATGTTTTCTGTTCTTTTTCTTTTCGTTTTCAATATCTGTTTCCTCATTTGATTCTTAGAATGGAGATGGAAAATGGGTATGCTTTCATCTTTTCATCATTTCACGCTTTATTTATCGGTTGAGCTTGGGGTTATTTTTATTAAAATTTTCTTGAAAGGGCTGGTGCGCACAACTGCGTATTGTATGTAAGAACAGGGATGCATTGTAAATTCTACTACAGAAGAAGTTTCCTTTCGTGAACCTGTCTCACCTAAATAAACGAGTATCCTATTTACTACCAAAAGAGACGAACTACATACGATTCTGGTTTTTTGTCTCAGCTTCAGATGACGCTGACAACTGATGTGTTGGAAAGTTGGCTTAGTGTCTGCTAAATATTTCTCTTCAATTGGTACATACTTCTATCCAGGGTGAAATAAATCGCAAGTCCCGATGATGGTATTTCCTGGCTATTTTTCTTTGCAACTGGGTTCTATGTAGTGGGATGGATCAGAGTAGCCGTGGTGTATTGTTCCTTATGTTCCTTTCTTTAATGTGCCTTGGCCTATCCAAAAAGTTTTTCAGACATTCTTCTTTACTTAAATATCACGGACGGTAAGTGGCAAGGTAATGAGAAGTCCAAATAATCTGCTGTGAACTCTATGGTTGTTTCGAAGAGAGTTTTATTAATTTGCTTCGACTCTTGCCTAAGGACTTGTAGTAAGATGTCAAGATGGACAGGGATGTCGGCATGTTCCTTGTCTACCACCGTAAACGAGATGATCTCGAAATTTTTCTTGTTTAGAAGGTTTTATCAATTTGCTTCGACTCTCTTTGCGGACCCTAAGTTAGGTAGTTGGGGGGACAAGGACTTCTGCATGTTCCTTTCTTCCACTGCGCATAAAAAAATAATGATCTCGATTTTTTTTTTTGCTTTTTGAGAGGGGTTTTATCAATTTGCTCCGACTTCCAATACGAACTCTTTTAAAATTAGATACCAAAGGGAACGAGGAAGTAGGTATGTTCCTTTTCTTCTACTGTACATAAAAATAATGATCTCGATAACTGGTTTTTTTTTATTCTTGATCGTCTAATGTTTATGAGAAATAATTGCAAAATCTTTTGCTCACAGCCTTGACACCACAAATAAATTGATCGCACAGAGACATCTCAAGAAACGTTCTCGGTCTGAAAGGGACTGCCATTTATGCTGAAAATCATGGAATGATTCGCAATACCTCCTGAAATTCTTATGAATATCACTTTGCAGCCAAGCCATGCGCAACATAAACCAGTGAACCATTAGTACGGTAATACTATGATTTATTACGGAAATCAATAGCAAGTAATTAAACACCTTCTTGATATGACGGAGTAATCACCGAATGAACGCGGCAAGATCAAAGAGTCTCTCGACGTAAAGGCAAGTCTAATGAGTTAGTCCAAAGTTAATTATTGTCGGTAAGGAAAGTAAAATCTAAGTTCTTAGTTCCATGACTCATTTATCTTGAATAACACAACAAAGCGCCATGCTATCAAAATCTTTTCGTTATTTTCATGTACAAGTGCTATGGAAAAGGTATTAAATAATCTAAAGTACCCGTTATTAGGGAATCGTAAAAGCGCACACATGTGGTTAACTTGATTTCTCATCAAATTAATAACGACGAAATCGTTACACAATCACTCAGAAAAAGACTTTTCACTAGGCAAGTTATATTTATTGAATTGATGCTTATCTGTATTTCAGTATCGATAAGAAGAATTGTATCCAATTATCGAAGAGTAGTTGACTCAGTGCGTGAGAAATGCTTCATACCTCTACTGTCGTTAAGCCCCTCCAATCCTTCATTTCCGTTTGTCACTTCATGTTTCAGATCGTTAACTGGCTTTTTTCCATCTTCTCCTTCGCTTGATGCCTTTCTTTCATTGATCTCACCGTCCTCTGCAAATTGAGCAACATTATGCAAATGCAATTATGAAAATTAACAAATCGGGAGTGTTGTATTAACAGCAAAAAGAAATTTTTTTAACTCCCCTGCTTTTGGATAAATTTCTTAAAATATTTTATCCACCTAACACAGTTTTTTTTCCGAGAGTGTTAAAGAAACTGGAAATGATTTTCCTATCCTCTTCAAAGTTTAAGACATGGCATAACCGCCATGGTTGTCTCACCTTCGCTTTGATGCTCGATTTCTTTATCTTCTAGTTCAAGTTTCAGCCTCTGGTTCGTGTTCTCCATTATCGCTGTCTTACTTTCGCCAGTCCGTTTGCTTCCTGTATTTAAATCACAAACATCATAATCAAAGATTTAAACTTTCATTTCGGACGTAAAATTGAGCGTTGTGCACAACGTTCAAGAAACCGTCAAAAACGGTGGAACATACCATCACAAAAACCAAACCACTTACCCTCAAATGATTTTTTTCCCATCATCGTGGTGCGATTTTTTTTTTTGGCAAAAATATGCCTTACCGTGAAGACGAAAATTTTCCTTCGCCTTCAACGTTAGTTTTGATGGTGTTCCATCGAGAAGGCTTGCAAATTTAAACTGATCTGCTAGCAAATAGATAGTAGTTAAAAGTAGCGGAAAAAAGTTGTTTTCCCGTCAAACAGGTTAATCAAGATTTGTACCCACCGTAATAACCAACAACATTACAGGCCTCAAATCGAGGTAACTTGACGTTGATACGAACGCTTTTTGTCGAGTCGATTTTCTGCTTTTCTGATTTGTGCCGGAATATCATCCAACAGAAAAATGTGCGTCAATCACCCAAACTCCACGCTTGACCTTCAATAACTAAATGAACAGAACAACTAACTGTAGAAGAAGAATTTTGATTTTCTGTCTGGTAGAGGAATGGCGGTAAGTGTTACTTTGTCTCGTCACGCAACGCACTTTCTCCAACAGGCAATACAGGGCGTTGTGCGACGAGACCAAAAAACGGCTGCGAAGGAGAATACGGTGAGCGTGCCGCCGATGCACTTTATTTTTGCCTAGAAGTATTCAGAAAATAGAGACAAAATACCACAAAATACCTGTGGGACTTCAGATAAATTAGGATTTTTTCGTTCTCTCAAGGTGAAGTAATGCGACATTTTCGTTCTTTTGAAAGTTATGCTCTTTTTCTATTACAAAAATGAAAACATTAGGTACACAAAGTATCCCATCTCAACCCACCCAGCCGAAAAAAAAAAAAAAAACACCCTATAAAGCTATCCCTTATTGACCTCATGTCGTACCGATCATATTCGCGATAAACAAATCGGATACTCTCTGCACGGTGTCCGATTTTGGTAACAGACCGAATTAGACTCCACTCAGTCCTATTACCATTACTAATAATGATGATAATAATATCACAATGATAATATCATACAGTTACTCTGCGTCTTTACGATTTGATTTATTTTCGTCGGCCCACTTGGGCGTCACTTCGTGATTTTCTCGAGAGAAATGTTAGATTCTGTTTAGATTCTGCGTAAAAAGTTGAGTGTACCAGCGTCCGTCCCATTTATCATGAAGGGTCAATTCAGTCCGTTGTTTTGTTCAGTTTTCTTCGCTTTCTTGCGATGGAGAAGATGGAAGCACGGACCGATACGGGCTTGAGTCTAAATCAGTAGTGCGAGGTACACAGGTCAAGTAAGTCTTGGTGAATGAATTTAAGCAGTTGGACTGGGTAAACTCATATACTGTTAACACCAAAGCTAAAACAAAGCTAAAATAAGTTTTTAAACTGCTCTGTCAAATGCGGCTTTCTATTGGTTTCTTCATAGAAGTTGCTTGAACTTATGTTTGTCGACCTCAAATTACAAAAGTTAGTGTTACTTGAACCAAATGTAAACTTCGGTTTTCCATTTTCTATTGCGAATTCTCATTCTGTTAAACCAAGAGAATGTAAACTGTTTACATATATCCTTGGTTAAACTCTGTTGAACCAAACATGTTTCGCTATTGAGAAGGGGGCAGAGGTTACAAACTTTAACGTATAACCTGAAAGAGCCGTCGCTTTATAATAGGAAACACAGGCCCCTCTCTATCATACTGCCTGCCTGCAAAGGCCCACACCAACCACCATCTTATGCCAAGCAGAACCGTCTCTAGATAAAATCAGATGCAAAATAGGGCTACTTCGTAGAGGATCTTTTCTGCAACAACCGATGTCCCAGTTGCCGTAGACTCTTTTCATTCAATCAAAAGAAAAGAAATTTTAAGAAAAATTGCTTGCAATCAAAAAGTTACCAGTTGATCGTGGTATGAGAAGCAGAGTTCATCAGAGTTAATTATTTTCCATTCCCTGAATAACATTTCCAATCGTTCGAAACCTAGGTTAGGATTGTGGCTTTGGATATTCTCAGCAGCATTTCTTCGTACTTTCGTTTTGCGTCTGTGACTTATTTTCAAGATCAATGCCCGTCGTTTGTCGCAATAACCTCTTTGCAGTTTCTTCATCGTCCAAAGGCAAACAGGTGTTCAATATAAAATCAAAAACTTTCTGAACGTTTTCACCAGATTTTGCACTCGTTTCAAAGAATGGTTTCTCGTTGAAACTACCAGTAGGTCTTCCCTTCTTTTCATTTAGTTCCAAAGCTAATATTTCGCCAGCGGAGGATGGAATTTCCCGAGAACTGCTCGTTATAATATCTTTTTTTGTGCCTACTACCACTACAAGACAGTTTGGTTCGGATGCGTCCAGCAGTTGTAGATAGCGCTCCCTTAGCGCGCGAAGAGATTTGCCCTGTGAAATGTCATAAGCTAGAATAGCTGCTGAAGCGCCCCGACAGTAAAATGAAGACAGGCCTGAGTATCTCTCTTCACCTGCCGTGTCCTAAAACGAAAAAGAAAAAATTATTTTAAGTATGCTGACTACACTTTCGATGAAACATCTTTCCACAGGCACTCTTTGCCTATTTCTTATCTTCTATGCTGAGCATCCGCTGCCCCCTTCCCCTCCATCCGCTGCCTCCTCCCCCTCCATCCGCTCCCCCCTTGTACAACCTTTTAACAGTTTTTTCCTGTAAACAAAAAATGTTTTTGTTGTTTTCCTTATGGAATACACACCAGTTCTCCAAAACTGGAGTACTGTTGGAAAAAGGAGATCCCATTTTGATCCTGATCACCTGTTATGTGTACTGGAAACCTTAAAAAAGTCGTAAAATAATGACTCGACCGGAAGCACTGATAACGTCGAAAGGCAACGATGACAACTTTTTCAAGTTAATGAATGGCTGCTTGATATTGGGTTTCAAAAGTAATCCGGGATTACCTTGAATTTGTTAAACGTCGCTCTGTGATTGTTCTACAAAACTCGTGGTATTCTTTCAACCAATCAGAAGTAAACCGAGTGCCACGTGTGACCAAACACCTGTGTTTTCCCACGCTTTTGGTAGATTGGTTTTCTTCGCTTTGAGTTCCCTTTTGGCTGATGATGATTTTAACCTGACAGGCCATGTGATAGCTTTAGTTTTGGTTTTTCGACGTCTATATCAAATTTGCTCTAAAAGTGATAATTAACAATCATTTCACAGTAATTGCTTTTATTCAAAACTGGATCATTGGATAATGCAATTCAAAAGTTTTCATTGGCCAAGCCATATGTGTTATGAGCCATTATAACATGAAAATGAGTTAATGTTAAAATTGGGAAGGTTTATCCATGTTTGGGGGCGTTCTTGATGAAAGAATTAATCCACTTGCACTAGTAGGATATGATATGATTATGGCCAACTCAGCATTCTACAGCGGCTATCTATCATCCCATATCCAGTGCGTGCTCATGGAATAATTGTTTAGTAATCTATAGAATACACATAAACACCATTACCCAGATGGCAACATTGTATGGTCCCCACTGCTTTAGAAAGAAAGATGCTCCAATAGTCTGTGGGAGACATGACAGTTAAAGCATTTCAGCCAAAAAAAATTTGACAATTTTAGGCATTAAATGTCTCATATAAACCTACATGTGGTGTAATCATATAGTCTATATGGCCATAAATTTCTTGTAGCCAGTAGGGGTTGGTAAGATTAAAGAACTTATTCCTGGTGGTCTGTCAACCAGTGTTTGGTCATTCATGGACCAACTGTCAGCCCCTCATGTGCTCACTGTTGCAGTTTGCTGAGTGATAGGTCTGGGATAAACTTAACAATGCAGCAATGCAATGTACTCAAGAAAGAGAAAATTTTTAAAAGGCATTAAAATTATGAAAATAGAAATAAAGGGTATGGGGGAAAAGATGAAGATTCAGTTACCAATAGGGATTCCACAGCCTAACTTTTGATTACCTTGTGGGTTCTCTGACTAACACTGAGCTTCAGGGTACATGTTGGTAGGTGAAAGTTGTGTATTGTACAAGGTTCAACCTTGTTATTTTCTTAAAGAGGTAATTTTTCTGAATCTCTTATAAAACACTTACACTGATAGTATCTCCTGTAAAGACTCCATTAAGATATCTTTGGATCAATGAGGTTTTTCCAACACTAGTATCACCAAGAATGATCACTTTCAAATCTCTGTCAAAAGTAACACCAAAAAAAAGTAATTTTATGGAAATTTCACAGTTTAAGGAAGTAAATCCTCTACTTCAGTTTGTTTTTCTTCAATATTTTTTACAACTTTCATTTCATTAATTTCATTTATTCAGTTCTTTGTTCATTCTATCATTCATTCATGCATTCAGAGAGTTACAATGAGTCAGCCATTCATTCACTTTGTATGGCATTGTGGTGCATTTTGCAGGCTACAGTTTACTTTAGCCTGCTGGCATGATTATTGAGACAGTTTTCTAGTCACTTCTTTTCATTATTTTTATTTCTTTGAGTCCAAGTCAATTTAAACCTCCATAGCATTTTTTGCTAAAATGAATCTGTGGCAGGGCCCAAACATATTTATGTCCTTGGAAGAACATAAACTGCTCATTGTTTTATTAAACTGTCACAATCAAAACAAACACACATTCAGAAAATCCATTAAGCAATGACCATTATCGATTAAGGGCCTTCAAGGTGATCATGACAACAGTCAATCACCAAAGTCATAAAACCAAATCACTGTTACCACTAAAAGTTTGATCATGGCACATCTGATCCACTTATTTATATCAACTTCATGACATTCTAGGGATATTTCAGGTGTTCACACTCTTGTTATCTTGTTAATCATTCAACTCCCATGAGTGGCTGAAAAAACTTGTACTTACAATATCAGTACAATATCAGTACAATATCAGTACAATATCAAGCAGACAGTTGATGAGAATAAAGTAAAAAATACATCAGGGGATTAAGAGTTGATCCAATACCAAATTCTCCAAACTTACATGTACATCATAAGAATTGTATGACAGACAGTAAGGAGAATTACATGAATTTAATAGTATCTATAAATTTTTTTTCCCAAAATGACCTGACAAGAATGAAAAACATATTTCACTTACGCTTTCTTTTTAGTCGCTGACTGCTGCATCTTGAAGACAAGGTGGCTCTGCTCTGTCTGCTTCACTCTCTTCAGTGTGTTACATCTGACAATTAAGAGAAATAATAAGTATGCAATTCTGACAGTTTTTTTTTCACAGTTTTTTTTTCTTTTTTTAAACAAATTACCTGAATGCTTGGTTTACTCTACTTGTTCAATGATTTCACAGGAAAAGCCACACTTCCTAATGGTTTTTCAGGCTAACTTCCACAGGAGAGGGGGTGGGGTGGTACTTACTAGTAATAAGACCAGCATGGATATGCCGCTGAGTGAGGTCACTTTTCTATGTGGATTTACTATAATGGGATTGTTCTTACAATAGAGTTACTAGCATGGAGTCACACATTTTTGGCATTTTGGGGGCTAGAAAATTCTGGTAAGCAGGGATTATTATTGCCATTAAATTTTGTCACCATATTACCAAATGTGACTACTGATGGGGTCTATAGTTGAACAAATAATGGGGTAAGGGTTTTGAGAGGCCAGTGGCACATACCCAGTAAAAATAGACCCAAGTAGCCTTCCCCCCCCCTCACCCATTATTACTTCTTGCACAAATGAGATAAATCTATCACAGGTTGTACCCTTAATGGGTATCTTGTGGTTTCACCCATATTTTGTTAGTAAGTGCAGCCCCATTTGTGTATCAAGCTAAGATGTTCAAATAAAACATTTATTCTAGGTTAGCTATGTGATACACAAAGCGTATATCACCAAGACCGCTAACCCTGTAAAAGAGCTTACCATGCTTCATTTTGACTTTGGGTAAACAGTAGCACTGAAAGAGTGTAGATTAAGACACACTCAGTAACAAGTCCCTGCTACAGTTCTCTGCAACAAAGCAACATGCGTGTCCTCATGCATTGCTCTGAAAACAAGTCCTTTTATTCAAAATTGCAGCCATAGCAAAAATTCAAACCAATTTCAATTCAAAATATTTTCATTCCAGCAACAGACATCACACCAAGTGATTTGCTTCCCTGAGTGTTCTGACCTTACTATGTGTCATTAACCTACTATACCCTTACATCAGTATCCATGTTCTTCACACTCTTCTTTGTATATTTCCCTTAGTACTGATAAGGAGAATTTGTATAACAATCAACACTTCTTGGGTTGGGAATCATTGGCTATATCATCATGATCTTAATAAATGATTTAGCAGTCTTACTGTAAGGAGAAATTAGATGTTGGTCACTCTTAGGGTTTAAAGGATTAAAGAATGCAATCCTTGTGAATTTGAACAAGGCCTCTAAGCCTAATAACACTAATGAATAGGGCTCTTCAGTCAAGATCAGTCAATCCAGAATTTTTCACACTAACCAAAGTGAAAAAGCTCAAAAAGCTCAAAGGCAAAGTACAACATCAGCTGCCAGTAACCCCTGAACATCAAAAGCATCCGCAAGTCTTATTATGTGGATTGCCTAAAAAAAGTATGTCCCATTGAGCACTTTTGGGTACTTTGCAGCCACTAAAATCAGCTGGATTACAGAAATGAATTTTAACAAATAGATTTCATGTTGCAGTGCACCTGTTTGGTAACAGACTACAGATCACACCAAAACATGGTAAGAACAAAAAGGGGCACACTAGGCATAGGCAAGTGTCATTGATAATCTTCAGCTCTGATCCGTCACTGTACAGACCTACCAAAACATGGAATCTATTTCTTTTATATGAAAAAAAAGCAATAGATCATGAGTAGGAACCCATGTAAATGCACACATAGTTCAGCTTATCATATAAATAGGACACATACAACGATTCCAACGATTTCAATGAAATTGAACCAAGTTATTAAGGGCTTTCGTGTGACTAGAGTGGTCAGTTGGTGTAAGTAACCCCTGTTACAGACTAGTCTTACAGTGAAAGCCAGCTAGCATCCTGTCTACAGATTGGATAATTTAGTGTAAGAAACCTCTATAACAACAGTCTAGCGATAAAAAAAAAACTATCGACCATTTAGTATACAATATATACAGCAAAGGTAACAACAAATTTTCCAAAGAAGAACTTTGGAATCATGATCATAATCCAAGTGGATCGCAGGTAATAGAGCCGAGTCTGTTGTGTTCTCCCAAAGGCAATCCACAATAACAAAATATCTTCAGAAAGAACTCCTCAGAGAATTATCTGCGACTCAAAGGCCAACTGCGACAACGACATGAGAAGGCGTTTCTAAATGTTTATAGTACAGTAAACATTTAGAAACGCCTTCGAAGCTCATTGACATTAATTGAAACGGATAATGACACGAGGGGTCCTCGGTGATATACAGTTCAATAATTCCTAAGCTGAGACAACCTGAAGTAAATTGTGAGGACGAAAAAATCACAGCTTATTTACAAGAACATCAAGGGGCCTCGATTCTCCACAATGATACACGTAGGTTTCTAAAATAAAATTAGGTGTAAACAACTTCAGAACCTACCGGGAAGTTCAGCGCTCGTTCCTTGATCCTGCACATATAACGTAAAAATAAGCCAAGGCAAGAAAACAAGCTACGAAATTGAGGTATGATTGAAAATGGACAGCTTAAATTTAAAAGGAAAAGAAAAGGAAAGAGTATGAGCAGTCCAACTCACAACGGATTGAGTTGAATGTGTTCATCCCCAGGCCTTTCAATCATAATAGCGTGCAATGTAACCAGTTACGTGACTCGAAGAAGCAATGACGTCAAAGGAAAATTAAAGTTAATTGTATTCCGCTATCCTGCTGTCACGAAAGACAGTGATGCATTGGACCTAGGATTTCGAGACATCTCAAGTGGATTGATTGACCAAACTCGAATCCGATTTAAAATTAGCGAGTGTGGAGTGCATTACGCTGCCTACCAAACTGATTAACAGCGCGATGGAACGTGGCAAATGCTTTCTTTAAAGTGAAAGCATTCTCCGTAGTCAACATAACTGTGTTGAACGTTTCCATCGATCGGTATACTTCTCTTGTTCAAGATGGTGTTAACCAGAAGCCAGACATCTCGCCGCACTCGATCTTCAACACAGCCGCTCAATGCAGCTCCAACTGGAGTTCATGGGAACCAAACTAGAATAAAAAGGGGACCTAATGTACGAAAATCCAAACCCGCAGCCCAACCAAGTAATCCTACATTAGCAAGTCGTCTTTGTGACCTGATGGACGAACTCCCAATGTTCAAGCGGCCTAAGCAAGTGATAAGAATTATCTGGGAATTAAAGGACTATTACCTGAAAACAGCTCTCTTTATATCGCTTATACTTGTTGTAATCCTATTGGTTTATTTTGTTTCGATAATTCCTGAGTTGTTTAAAGTCTACGATAATGCAACTAATGTTTGGCTGCGGCTTTTTCCACCTGATTTACCAAGCGTTTATTTCAACGGAGTCTCGTGGCCTCCAAGGCATCGATGGGTTTGGCGTGAGGAGGAACTTTCGAACGTAACGAGACGGATAACGGCAATGTCCAAAGAACATGATGGAAAGCAGGTTCACATGTATTTGATCGGCGGTCCAGGTTCGGGGAAATCGGAACTCGCTAGACAAGTGGGGCTTCGTTTAAATGAATCTCTGAAGCAAGACCGTAGACCGGTTGACATAGTAACAATCCAGGCTGCCACTGTCACTTCGCTCATATCAAGCTTTGCCGACTCAATTTCTGCACTCAGCAAAAGTTCAGCGGAAAAGACGGACGGTATAAAACAATTAAAAGAAGAGCTGGATCATAAAATTGGCGGTTTGTTCGCAAAAGAAGGAGATGATTTGAAAACTGAAATGAAACTTAAGATATATTATGCAAAACTTTGCGAGCTTCTTAAACAACGAAACAGTCGCCCAGTATTGATTTTCGACAACGTGCGAGAGTTGAAGTGGTTGTTCAACTACCTTAACCTTGAGCCGGGAAGTCAGCATTTTACGACTTTTGTAGTTATCGTTACTCTAGAAAAGCGCGTGTCTTTGACAAGACTAAGTGATTACGTAGAAGTGCAGGATTTATACGAGGGTATGACCCTAAATGATTCTATTAAACTTCTGCAACTAATTACAGGATTAGACAAAAACAATGAGCACAATGCTAAGGAACTCGCGATTATTCTCGGAAGGCAACCACTCGCTGTCGCAACCGCGGCGATTTACATAGAAAGCGTACGCCAAGGTCCCCCCAAGCGTTCTACATACTCTTATTCGAACTACATATCTGAGTTCAAGCGAGACATTGAATTCCTTGGAATGGAAGAGCAACTGGAATGGCAAGAAAGCGACGCTTCGAAGTACGATGTTGCCATGTACACCGCTGCTCTAAAAGCGGTTAAGCATTCGGCTCAGATTGATCCAGTGATTCGGGAAATCACCTGTATTGGATTTACAGATACGTCGCCGCTTAGTCTATCCTACGTCCTCGACTTCTTGAAAACGAACTCGAGCCATCAATTCACAGAAGCGCAAGTCCGAAACTCCTTAAGGAACGTGCTTTTTAAAGTGGCGGGTCAGGAGAACCACCAAACTCTGCACACTCATCAGGTAATCCGAGAAGTTTTCCGTCGCGTTTGCAAGGTAAGTCGTTATAACCCGAGCTGCCTTAATTCAGCATTTTGCAATCTGACGATCAGTACTAATGCAGATTTCAGTAACAGCCAGCTGCTGATCTCAGATGTCTTTCAACGACTCGTTTCATCCTTTGAGCGGCAGCTGAATTTCACAACCTCATCTTTGCTAAACGTGGAAAACGCCACGGTAACAGAATCTAACATTGTTTTTGGCTCTGAATATTTAGATATCCTGACCTCGCTATGCATATTTTCCTCGAGGGAAGGCTTGAAGATGGAATATGTGATGAGAGTCAGTTTTTCAGACACCTTCTTGCGGTTCTTTGCGCACAACTCTGGGTATTGGCCAGGTTTGATCAAGGCCACAACAAACGAATTCAGACTAAATGAAATAGTGACTCTGGCAAACTTGCAGGCAAACAACGGCTCTCGGTTTGACTTACAGACAATTCTCCTTGTTCTAAGCCTGCATAGCGGAGCCTCAAAGTTGCAAAAAGAGCATTTCATGACCGCAATAAACAAGACTTCGACAGGGATTGCGCAACTTATTAAAAAAGTAAATGACGATACAGTTGTCTTAAACAGAACAAAGCCACTTCTTTTGAACATCTTAGGAGCGATGTACCGTGGCTTAGGGTATCCTTACCGATCAAAGGATCTTCATGAGCTTGCATTTGATTTTTATCGCACAAACGTCACTGACAACAGCACAGGAGAACACACTACAAGCAGTGATAACGACCAAGAGGTTTTCTTAGGCAAGGCAAGCACTCTACATAAACTCGGAATCATTTATCGTTACCTAGGTAACCTTGCCATTGCTCAGTCTGCGCATGAGTGGTCACTTAGTCTACTAAAGCAGTTATCCGGGGACCACCGAGTGTATATTTCAGGTTCACTTCTTAACCTAGCTGTTGTTTATAGCCGCCTTGGGAAGTACTATGATGCACTGCGGTTGTATAATCGCTCATTGATCATGCTGCAAGAGATATATGGCCCAAGTCATGCTAGCGTGGGGAGGCTTTATACCACCATTGGAACTGTCTATTATCGGCTTGGAGACTTCAATAACGCCACACAACATACAGAACGTGGATTGCAAATACTCGAGGACTTTCACGGAGAGTTACACCCTCATGTGGCCGAGGCACTGAATTTTCTCGGATTCATGTACAGAGATCAAGGACATTTAAGCAAGGCTAAGATTGTTCTGGAACGCTCCACGTCTATTAAGGAGAAGGTCTTTGATCCGGAGCACTTCATACTTGGAGAGGCTTTAAACGATCTAGGGGTGGTGTACACTCGTCTGGGTGAAGGACAAAAAGCCAAGATGGTCTTACAAAGAGCACTGCATATCTTTAATCGTACTTGGGGAGAGGGGCATACCTCAGTTGCGACGGCCCTAAACAGTTTAGGAGCCGCCCACAGCGCCTCGAGGGAGCTAGAAGAGGCGATTTTTTTGCACAAGACAGCCTTAAACATTCTCCTTCGAATGGACATGAGTGCCAACTTGGAACACTTAATTGCAGAGACAAGACAGCTCCTTGGCAACGCTTACATGGCGACGGGAGGCCTCGAAGATGCCAAAGACATGTATCAGCTTTCGTACTTGGGATTTAAGAAGATTTACGATTCCCATCATTGGAGAGTTCAAGGTGTTTTGAAGAGCTTAAGCTCTTTAGGGTACGTCTTAAACAAATCCTGCGAGACAAATGCTCTCTGTTTTATAATTAATTTAAACGCTTTTTTTGCCATCATCCTAAGTGAAAGGCTCATCACATTTGAACAGCTTATTTTAACGTAGTTTTTTCTTTGGGCTGGTAAAATTTTCGAGTTCTAATATTAGAAGTATAATATGAAAATACAATATGAAAATTGATAAGCTTGATGAGGTAACAATCCTCTTTGGTATTTCCGATAATATCCCTGGGAATTGTTTGTTAAATCACATAATCATTCTTGGAAAATATACCATTTATTCATGTCGTTGTAAAAATATCAAGCCGTCTGTATCCTTACTGAAGGCTAAAACATCTGAAACTCGGAAATTTGAATTTTTGATTGCAAAAAAGAATAAAAAAGAATCTATTCATTATAAAAAATGGGAAAACATGTTATTGTAACTCAATAGATGAGTATCGGGTATTAACAGTTATAGACGCAGTTGTATATACAGTCGTTCTACCAAAAAAGGAATTTGATGTAGAAGTATTTGTACAAATTAGGTTTATATTATTATATAACCACAACATAAATTAAATCTAGCCGACTGTGAATGTAATGTAACGCAGTATTTCGTAATTAGTGTTAGTGAGTAGCGTAAGCGTTAGTGTAATTAACTTTGTTTTTGTTTGTATTATTCTAGTATTTGTGCTTTAAGTGAAAATAAAAAAATAAATAAAAAAAAATAAAAAAATTTAACCTCCCCTTCCACCCTCACGTGAAAGCCACGCCTCCGAATGAGATCTTAAACAGTCATAGCCAAATTAAAGGAAATAGGAAAAAATAGCTTCGTCTTAGTTTGTAAGCTGATTGAGCCCAGGAGCAAAACTTAATGATGTGGTGTGGACTCCCGGATAAGAATGGTTCTGTTAAAGACTTTTGGAGGTGACAGTAACGTGACAACATGACTAGATGTCGCTGTCACTCAAACAGTCCTTAGTCACGACTACCCCTACCCGGGTGGTCACCCGACTCATTTGCTGTGTATCTACACGGAGATCAGTGGAACTCTTCATATCCTTCGCTGCCGTCGTTTGGCGTAATACGGTATTGCCACAGGAAGTCCAAGCTCGCACAATGAGCCTCTACAAACATGTAAATATGTCTGGTTTTTTAATGGGCATGGACACACGCATTCTTCACGCAAAATTCAGAACTAGTTTCAAATAAATCCAAATTTACGTCCCTTTTTTGCTTGTTCTTAGGAGATTTTTTTAGACTGACGTTGGGCAGTTTAGTTCATTCTTGATTCCCCTCTTTGCCCTCTGGACAGGATTATGCACCTGCATTCGTTTAGGTTAGTCAGGAAATCGATACAGGAACCAGTGGGAAGACCGAAAGGCACAGAAATACTAAAAAATATAAATAAAAAAGGGAATTCATAATTTTCTTCTCTTGACGTAATTGGTACTATTAATAACACCGGTGAGGGCGGATTCCTTCAGGGGAGGGGAAGGGGCAGTCGGCGCATGAATCGACCTAATAAGTTTTGAGAAAAGAGTACAGAGTGGACTTGATGAAATAATGAATGGATTTCGGGATGTAATGTCAATCGAGAAGCACTTGAAGAGGTGTGATCGTCCTAATCTTGAGCCTTTTCTTAGGCAGCTGGAAAGGAAGGACTGGACCTGGACTGGACTCTAAACTTGACCTTTGGATGTTGTTTTCAGTTGCTAATATTGATTACGTCACCAATAATTAAATTAATCAGTAGATAAGATATGCTGACTGATTGGAAAAGCCTGACAATACTGATGTAAGTTTTGTAAGCTTAACTTGGATGAATGACCCCTTCTTGTAGCATGTACAAAATATATGGGAAAAGGACTCCAAAAATGAAGTAGTGAGACTTTCTTATCCAGTTGAAGGTCATATGAATACTTGCACAAAACTCAACACCTTCCTCTCCCCTCCCCTCCCCTCTTAACACAGCAGACACAGAACCTGATGCCGTATTGCAATTCCATGTATCTTTCCAAACAACATGGAAAGAGTAAATTCTACTGTTGTGATCACAAGAGCAGTTAGGAGGGTTCCATGATTGCTGTGATGTCATCTCTCTGGTGGGTTAGAAGAGGCAAAATCACATAGTCCAAAACCCAGTTGTTCAAGGAGTGGATGAAGCTATCCAACAGATAAATCTCTATCCAGTGGCTAAGTGTTAACAAAACATACCGCACTGTCTAAAGGATAGAGATGTATCCAGTGGATAGCATTGTTGGAACACAAGGTCTTAGTTTGCTCATGAAGACTTGAGGTTAGGATAAGCTGCATACATAATAAAAGAAACACTATTAAAAAGCAGCCCAGATTTCTTCAGTTCACATTTTTAATTCTTCTCTTCTTCTTCTTGTCACCATACCAATGAAAACTCCCTTGTCACAAAATATTGTCAATAACTATCCCCTTTGCTTTCGATAAGTTATTTACAGTTTAATAATACAGAGCACAAGACGCAAATTGTTAAAGGTAATTTACTTCCCACGACTGAAAAGTAGCTTTCAGCTTGAAAAAAACCTAACTAGGAATGTTTTTCAAGAAAGTTATCTAAATAATAATTTAATTAAATTGCAGCACTGAAATTGATAGCAAACTTTTCCTTTCCAAAAAATAATGTAATTGGATTCTCAAAACATACAAAGGTATTTTGAAACCCTGCCTGTGCACCAGTTAAACACTATTCCTCAAAAAAATTTACACACTTGCAAGTATACAAATGATATCTCAAAGCAGTTGAGATTGATCCCTATCTGGAGATCTAGTTCCTCTTCAGTGAAATTAAGTTTGAAATTCTACTTGACATCAAAAAAGGACTGAAATGTGGTTTGGTACTGACAGGGAGAATTTGCTTAACAATCAAAGCTTCTTAGGCTGGCAATCATTTCCTTCATTCTCTTAAACTTAGAGAAATTAGACCCTGGTCACTTTAAAGGTTATGCAAAGAATTTCTGTCAAAAAAACCTAATGAAAAAAAAAAAGAAATGAAGTTAAAGAAACTAAAGAAACAGAATTATATGACTTTCAAAATAGAGCTTGATTTCTTTTAAATATCATTCCATCAACACATCAAAAAAAGCAACAAAACATTGCAAGATGTGTAAATCTGTAAAACACCAATGTTTACACCTGCACTACTTCAAAACCTCCTCTGTTTGATCACCTTCAAAATTCAAACTCAAAATCTTAAAAAAAAAAATACCTTTCATTTGATACCAACTAATACTTAATACATGCATACCTAGTTATGACAAGTCTACCTTGAGACCACAAAATGTGGTCTATACTGCGTAAACAATATGTTACATCCATCACTGACTGCACATGTAAAATCTCAGAATTTCAGCTTTTATCAGTCTAAAGGTGGTCTTTTTGGAAATAAATTTTTCCAATTTATACAGCACCAAATCAATGTTATGATCCTAAGAGCAAAATAATTGTCCTTTCAAGGACCAAAATTAAGGAAAGTTTTTTTTTTTTTACATTGCCTTTGATATTTCCTTCAAGGAAGTGTTTGTGGTTTTATCATGTCCTGTTGACTGTAATTTAAATCATGAAGGTCACAGGAAGTCTTGAAAAAACTTTTGCCACCAATCCTCTTTATTTATATCTCCAATCACATTTGACGCAAGATTGACACTGTTTTGTTCCTCACATAAATAAAACTGAACTCACAATTCAATATTTCCTGGATGAATTGAGCTTGCTAATTAGGTTCTCAGGATATTTTGTTTTCCAAACTAAAAAAAATACAGCGCACTTTTTAAGGATGTAAGAATATACAACTATTGAATAAAGCTGACAAACTACTCCCAATACTGACAAAGAACCCTTATATAGTACGAAATTATACAATTTACTTAATGGCTTGTCTAAACCCCTTAAACTGTACATGTCCTTTTGTATAAATCAAGGACTTGAAAAGGTGTCTATGTAGCACTTTGACCAGTCTAGAGCAAGAATAACATAATGCTTGTTAGGTTCAACAGCTTATCAACCTGGTTGTGTTCACGTACCTTAAGAATTTTTCACTCAAAAACTAGGTGGAAGGGGGAATTGGACTATGTAAACTGAATTGGGGGTAAACTTGATTTAATTGTTACTAAACCAAACACCAACTAGCAATTCTTTTCATTTCCTCTGATCACTTATGCTGAAAAGAGTACTCACAATCATTCCTAAAAACAATTGTTACTGAAGTACATTTTTAAGATTTAGATTTTAGGATTGGGAAGCAGATTCCCCAAATAAGGAACAAAAGAAAATACAGTAATGCAAATAGTGACTTGGATTACATGTGACTGCCAAAGATACATAAATACCTTTTAACTGACCATAGATATCGTAACATTTATTCCCAGATTTCCATTGTCGGCAAATAAGTGAGCAATATTTGTATCAAATACGAGGCAATCGCTGTTTAAGATAGCAGAGGCGATTCCTTCGTGTATACTTCGCGGTGTAGCTTCCCAGGCAAGCCTTCGTCGGTTTCCATTTAATTCAAGACGATAGACGAAATTCTCTGCTTGTTTACGAGTTCCAATTAACTGTACAATAGCGTAAAACTGTTGAAGTCCCTCGATTTTCTCCTGTTTTTCGAGCACTAACATGAAATGATGTCCAAAGCAAGATTGCATCATTACCCAGTCTACGGCGCCAGGAAGGTTTATGTCAGTAGCTAAGAAAACGATGTCTTCTCCCTGAAGGGTTGTGATGGATTTATGAGCGTGCATCAGATGAGGCATGACCGAGTCCAGCGAACCTTGCCATTTACAAGAAGCCCCAGGACAAGGACATGAGTAGGGACGAAACTCGCAAGATTCTTCGTGTTCCGGTTTTTCATTATGTGGTAAGTTTACTTCACAGCCAGCCGAAGCATACTTACAGGGGAACGATACCGTGTTGGCAACCTTTTCCATCGCCAGATTTCGGATACTGCCCAAAGGCCCACGACATGTTGGGCAACAAGTCAATTTGGGTCGGCAGTTCGAGCACACTAAATGGCCGCTGCTACATTGAAGAATTGGAGGAAGAACATAATCAAAACACACAGGACATTCAAAAATACTCGCCAAGTCGGCATTCGTTGGTCCTCCAGGCTGAGATACGTTCATTCTCGATGGTTTCTGAGAAGGCTGCGAGCTTGGCTGTCGATTCATTGTTCCGAGGAACTTCTAAAACAGTAGGCTAATTTCAAGCACACGTCCTCGCCAAGGTCCATTTAAATCACGATAAATTTCAAACATGATAAGTTAATTTTCATTCCTCTGGGTAGCACCAACATAAACTCGTTAATATGACACGAAAGTGAGTTAAACGGAATTGATCAACGAGAGGAAATTACATTCCCTCGTCCTTCCTATATTTTGTTTTCGCGTGAATTCGTAAACTTGGTAGCCTCGCCTCTTCTCCGAACCAATGCCCAAAGTCTCCGAACCGCACCGATCATGCACGAGAAAGCAGGTCCACGATGCAGCACACTCCACGATTAATTTTCGCCTCAAAACGCCTTTTAACGTTTTAGCATCCAGAGGAAACGCAGTGTTCCCACCGATCATTCTTCTTTTCAATAAAAGCTGGATCTAGAAGATGTTAAACTCTATAAATATCACGCACACAATGAAAAATACGATACCTTTTTGTCGACTAAACTCACGCCTGTTTATCATACACAGGCACTGCGCAGGTACTCCTCACGCAAACTTGTCACGAGAATTTTTTTCGCGGATTTTCTTAATGCCTTTCGCACTTGCCTACTGTAAAATCCCTCTAAAAGCTGGAATTTAGAGAAGAGGAGGAAATCAACTGTCTCAAAGTCTAGCTTGACCGTTGAAAATTATGCTAATATATAGTTGTATCAAGTATCTGAAGTCACGCAGCCTCGAACCCTCAGGTTGGCTTATTTGTAAAGTGGGTTATTCGTTTTGAAAATCTGTGGCCGATCCAACCCGTTTTTTTGTTCGTGCCGTGGACACTCACCACCCACTGGCGAACGGATGGGTTCAGAAATTTCAAAGGAGGAGAAACAAAAGCGAAAAAACTTAGAACATAACCTTAGTAAAATGCAACGTAGCCTTCACGTGACTGCTCACGCTCACTACGTATCTTCGGAATACTACAGAAAGTGGAACGTTAGACTTCAATACATGTCTCTTGTGGTAGGTGCAGGTGGTGCCACAGGAGGCTTAGCATCAACATTTAATTGGAAAACGTTCGTTGGACATAATCCTCGCCTTGCACCACTCGTCGCTGCGTTTTCAGCAACTTCAGCTATCCTATCCGTTACCATACATTTGTTACCGAAGATCCAGAGTATGCCTGCAAATCTATATCAGATGCACTTTAACTCTGGAATAGAATGCCAGTATCTCGAAAAAAAGGTAAAGTTTATGTCGGAGACCGAAGTTTGGGATTCCAAAATACCGTGGGCATCTCTGGCATCAAAGTACGAAACCCTGCTCAGGGACAAGAAAGACGTGGATAGCGTGATACAAACCGACTACTGGGCTTACCGAAAAGCTTTAAAGCTAATTGAGGAAAGAGATAGAGAGAAACGAGACCAAAACGTAAGAATAGGAGAAGGAACCATGCAATGAGCCCCAGAAACTTGAGAGAATCGTAAGCTGATCTGTTTGTTACCGCATATGTAAAACTCCCTATCACAACTACTAAAGAAACGAATTGAAAACCAATTTAAGATTTTCGCAAGACACGTTTCGATCGATTAATTTCGATTATCATTTGTAGCAAGAGATTATATTCTCTTGTTTATAGTTAATTTTTACATCATAACATCGAAGTTATATCGGCCATGAACTGAAATTGGCAACGAAATATATACATGATTTTTAAATGCACTAGACGGATTAAATTCACAAAAACCGAAAGTACAAAAGCGAACACTCATTCGGAAGGAAAAGCATAACGAGAAAAAAGAGTTCGGTCGGCATGAATAACGGTAGACTCTTCCAATGGATATGGGCAGCAATTTTAAATTAAAGGCTGTATGCAAATATTTTATAATCGTCTGTGACACTCAGTGCGACCTCTGAGTGTGCTACAGACCGTGTTAACCATTCAGCGTGAAGATTCAGTGAATGCAAATTGTGATAAACTACAGGACTACTTCTTTCTTATTGGAACGCGCGAAATAGTACACATGAATCAAATTTGAGCAAAAACCTATTGAAAGATAAGTGTGCTACAGACTGTGTTTCAAGCCCTCGTCAGAGCTCTTCTGAGATTATCAAGTGATTTCTTGCGTGATGCAAGCAGTCGATGCCACCAGACCATTGGGAAGGGAGTGGAGGGAGAGGGGGGAGGAGGGAAGGAGAAAACAAAACAAAAAAAATTATGTAAGCTGTTCCAAAGTTAAACATGCCATGCGTACACTACGGCCAGTGCTTTTCAACTTAAAGGTTCTCTCGAATCATGTCTCGTTGATATCTGTTGCCCAGGCACTGCCAAAGCCTCAGTTAGGTGGCACCTGAATTACACTTTGTAGGGTGCAAAATGAAGTGTTCTTATTTTGGCGTTGGTATGACTCTCTGTTGGACTTGATTAATGGTTTCCATGTTTTCAATCTGTAATGTAGGAATATATGCACCGCAAATCACATACTCTTAGAGACCTCCATCTGAGACGCTAAAGAGTAACATAACTTTTTTAAAAAATTGCCTTTAGGTGTTGTTAAGACTCGACCAGAGACACTGCCGTTTTGAACCTTCTTAGCAACCCGTCTGATTAACTGTGATGTAAACAAGTTTCATTTCTTTCTTTTCCCTCCCATATTGAATTATTTGAACAATAAGAAGTTACAAAAAGGCATTCTTGATTTATATAATATGTTTATATGTTGACATGAGAACACATGTTAGTGGAATAATGCTGCCATTGTGCGGTTGCAATTTTTTTAGTTGAATTCAAAATGATAACATCCATAACTATTTGTTGTTGTTGGTGTTTAAAAAACAAACAAACAGAACACAGATGTACTAAGCATGAAAGAATTAATTTTTTGGATGTGTGGCTTGGAAGTCTCCGCTATGGAAAAATCGAAAATATATTAATCGTAATGATAATAATAATAATAATAATAATAATAAAGATGATGTTACTAACACTGTAATAATGATAATAGAAAATAATAATAATGATTCTAATAATAGAAAATGATAATGATAACAGAATCGGCACAACTTTACTGAAATCCAAATCCTACCTACTTAATATATTGGTAAATGAAGATGTATTTTGAGTTGTTTAATCTTATATATAAAGAACATACTATCTTTGTTTTATCCTCTTAGAGCCCTGATCTTAAAAAATGAGGAAAAAGATAAAATTCTGCAATAAAGAAAGAAAAAAACGAGTGACCTATTTACAAAGAAAAAAATCCGACACGTAATGTCTCTAAATAATACAAGAAAATAGAAATATATATGTAGATAATAATAAGAATAGTAATAATAATATGACGATGCTGCTGAGATTATCACAATTATGGACAAGAGATCAATTTTCGCCTCAAAACGCCTTTTATCGTTTTAGCATCCAGAGGAAACGCTGTGTTTCCCACCGGCTATCCTTCTGTTCAGTACAAGTTGGATCTAGAAGATGCAAAACTCCGTAAATATCACGCTCACAATGAAAAATACGATACCTTTTTGTCGACTAAACTCACGCCTTCTGTTTATCTTACACAGGCGCTGCGCAGGTATTCCTCACTCAGACTTGTCACGAGAATTTTTTCGCGGAATTTCTTGATGACTTTCCCACTTAACTACTGTAAAATGCCTCTAAAAACTGGAATTTAGAGAAGGGGAGAAAATCAACTGTCTCAAAGTCTATCTCGACCGTTGAAAATTATGCTAATTTATTGCTCTACTCCCCAAATACCTGACGTCACACGGCCTCGAACCCTTGGGTTTGCTTGTTTGCGAAGTGAGTTATTCGTTTTGAAAACCTTTGACCGACCAACTCGTTTCTTTGCTCGTGCCGTGGACACTCACCACCAATTGACTAAGGTATGGGTTCAGGAATTTCAAAGGAGGAGAAACTTAAGCGGGAAAGCTTAGAAGAAAGTCTTAAAAGAATGCATGAGAAACTTAACACCACTGCTAAAACCCACTTCGAATCTTCGAGATACTACAAAAAGTGGGACATCGGGCTTCAATGCATTTCTTCTGTGGTATTTTTCGTAAGTGCCACAGGAGGCTTTCAATCAAAATCTGCTTGGATGGGATTTTTTTTATATCGTCCTCGCCTTGTGCCACTCGTCGCTGCGATTTCAGCCACTTCCATTGTCCTATCCATTACCGTACGTACACGTTTGCCATTAAAGATCGATATTACTGGTTTGCCTGCTGATCTACATGAGAAGCACTTAATCGCTGGATTAGAATGTCAGTATCTCAAAAAGAGGGTGAAGTTTATGTCGGAGACCGAAGTTTGGGATCCCAAAATACCGTGGGCATCTCTAACGTCACAGTACCTAGCCCTGCTCAGGGAGAAGAAAGACGTAAATAGCATGATACAAACCGAAGAATGGGCTTACCTGAAAGCTAAGAAGCTTATTATGGAAAAAGAAAGGGAGAAACGAAATCGAACTGAGAGAGTAGCAGAAGGAACCATGCAATAAGCCCCAGAAACTTGGGAGAATCATAAGCTGATCTGTTATTTACTGCAAATGTAAAACTCCTTATCATAACTACTTAAGAAGTTAATTGACAACCATGCAGTCTCAGATCTACGAAAGACGCGTTTTGATCGATGAACGATTATAATTTGAAGCAAGATATTATATTCTTTTGTTTGTAGTTAGTTTATATCATTACATCGAAGTTATAGCGGCCATGAACTGAACACTCATTCGATCGGAAGGAGAAGTGGTGCAACGAGAAAAAAATATTTCGGTCGGCATAGATAACGGTAGACTCTTCCAATGGATATGGGCAGCATTTTTAAAACAAAGGCTGTATGTAAATATTTTTTAATTGTCTGTGACACTCAGTGCGACGTCTGAGTGTGATACAGACCGTGTTAACCATTCAGCGTGAAGATTCAGTGAAAGCAAATTGTGATAAACTACAAGACTACTTCTTTCTGATTGCAACGCTGGAAATAGTCAGTTTAACCTGTCATGTGTACACTACGGCGACTGCTTTTTCAACATTTCTACGTCTATAACGTTCTAATATTAAAGGTTGTCTTTGTTGGACTTGATTGATGGTTTCCATTTTCAATCTTTAAAGAAGAAATATACGGACCGCAAATCACACACTCTTAGAAACCTCCATCTGAAACGCTAAAGAGTAACATACCTTTTTGAAAAGATGCCTTGAAATGTTAAGACTCGACCAGAGACACTTGTGTTTTGAATCTCTTCAGTAGCAAACCGTCTGACTAACTGTGATGTAAAAGGGTTTCATTTCCCTCTTTTCCCTCCCATACTGAATCGTTTGAACAATAAGGAATTACAAAAAGGCATTCTTGATTTATATAATATGTCTATATGTTGACATGAGAACACATGTCAGTGGACTAATTCTGTATGAGCGCTTGTAATTTTGTGAGTTGAATTCATAATGATAATATCCATTAGTATGAATTTTTGTTGTTTAAAAAACAACGAACACAACACAGATGTACTAAGCACGCAAGGGTTAATTGTTTGGATGAGTAGGTTGGAAATCTCTGCTTCTTCTTTTATTTTTTTTGTCAACAGTATTTACACTAGTGATTAGTGCTATATCTCATTTGAAAGAGGACAAAATTAGCTTTTCAGAAAAAAATATATTTTGCCTTCAAAAATCCATGGATTTTAAATCATGCTAAGAAAATGGCATACAATTTGCATAAATTATTGTACAACTTTTGACTTTGAAACAGCCTGGGCCTGAATGGATTGGAGTTAAAAGGAAACATTTCTTAGATAAAATATTCATTATCGTATGGGCAAGACATCCAGAGACTCTGGCTGAAAAAGAACAAATACGGAATTAATTAGAATTTTTTTCCAAACTGTACCCCAAAACCATAAAAATTGACCCAGATTATTGAAAAATTTATTCCTCACCAAGTATTTACACAAGGGAAGTAAGCTATACCTCACTTGAAACAGCAGTCGATAAACTTTCCTGAAATGCATGTTTCCTCTCCAAGAAAAAGGAAACAACCTCATTGAATGCTTTCAAACTAACATTAATTAGCATAAAATATCATCAAAATTTGAAAGGTGAATTAAGTGATACCCAAATAATATAAAGTAATGAGGCAAAAATTAACTAAATAGGTTCCTTGTTATATATGCAACATCTCCATAAAAAATTGGTTGGAAAATAACAAATCTGAGATGTGTTACACATATTTAGTGAACACTGATTGACACACTGACTAATTAGTCTGACCTCATCATCACCCCAAGCCCAAATTTACTAATCCCTCTTGACCAGAGACTGGAGCCATTCGTGTATTTCACCGCAGACAGGAATGGAAAATCACGCAATGTTGCGTGACGCTGCGACCAATGTTTTTAATTTACGGCATTCTCTGCTGGAGAAATAAGGCTTGGCCGCAATCGAGGGAGTTTTTTTTCGTGGAAAACTGATTTTCTAGGTTATTATTCGCACGAAGGACAAATCCATTCATCGGGCTCCTCATCTTTTTTTGCACAACACCTAAAGGAAGAAAGTCGCGGATTAATTTTGCTTGGTAATTTCTAACAACTCCACTAGACCTAAAAAGGAAAAAAACCAAACCAAACCCAAAAAAAACGTCTTATCAGTCAAACCAGTTGCAGTAGCTCTCGCACTGAATCATGTCGAAGTACCTTGAGTGTTTGCAGTGATGGTACAACCAATCTTCGAACAGTTTTCGGCCATAACAAGAAAGAGTGAAATGATTTTATAAAACTTGTTCTAAAAATTAATGATGAATTAATGAATTAATTAAAGGCTGTTCATCACATGACGCTGTATTGAAACGAGTATATCTCGTTTGCTATTGTATCACACTACTGTTTTAGACAAGGTATTTATACCACTTAAATTTAAGAAAGAATGAGTAGAACATAAACCACATTTTCTGTAAATTACACGAGCCATCCTGACCTAACTTGCCAACTACTTTCCAGGCATCATCTGTAAAAAACCGCTTCAATTTTTCAAATTTGAAAATTTTTAGCTAAAACCGTGGCTCCCAAAAATATTTCTCACCTTGCCTAAAACATTTTCAGAAGAAATTTTCAAATTTTTCACAACTTTGCCTCTTCCTGCTCGTAGGTCCAGCCAAGCCCTTATGGTCATTGGCCCCAACAATGGCCGCTAACAATGGCTTATAAATATAGGCGTTTGGTGTTCACTTGTAAAACTCCCTGAAGAAGTTTACGACAGTTAGACGAAACGCGTCAGAGAATAAAGAAGTTTTACAACTACTGTTCGCACAGCGCTGCTCACTAGTTTAGTTTTAAATTTTTTAAAATTTTTTTTAAAAAAATTGTCTAAAAATTATTAAAAAATTATTGAAAAAAAAAATTAATAAACGTTTGAGTCGGAGCTATTCCTGTCAGCGGTGAAATACACGAATGGCTCCAGTCTCTGATCGTCCACTTGAACTGACTAAATGAGTTTAGTCAGCAGATGACTTTTTCATCACCAGAATACCGCTGAACGACCTCGCTGAACAAGAAAGGCTGCCTTCCCCTCGCTACGTAAGTAACCATTTCTTGTTTGATACATCGGTGTTTTCACTCGCATTGATATTTAATTGTTCCGCTTTGAGACACGCGGTAAACAATACTCACGAGCAAGGAGTTAAACTGTAACTTATTGACTTTTACTATTTTTATCATCCAATCACAGGTCGGAGCCATTCCTGTATTTAGTCGCTTGTGCGTTACGCATCGGACGCCATTATCGCAGACTGAAATCGTACGCAAATCATTTTCGGATCGGGCTCCCGAGGTCACGTTTCATAGTTTGGAGCTAAAACTCGTCATGTGATTGGCTTAGAATGTCTACATGCTACAGCCGAAATTTCAGGGCGATCGGATGTAATCCGAGCATTTCCGAAAAGGTCAAATTCATCATGCAATTTTGCACGATCGGCCCCAGGGCTTGACCACGAAGAGTTTTAAAGTCCAAATCCTACTTACTTAATACATTGGTAAAGGAAGAGATATTTTGAGTTGTTTAATCTTATATATAAAGAACATGCTAAGAACATGTTATTTCCTTAAAACACTAATCTTAAGAAATGGGGAAAAGATAAAATTCTGCAATAAAGAAAGCAAAAAACCAATTGTGACCTATTTAAAAATAAAAGAAGTCCGACTGCTAATGTCTCTAAACAATACAAGAAAATAGAAATATATATGTAGATAGTAATAACAATAGTAATAATAATGTTGATGCTGCTGCTGAGATTATCCCAGTTATGGACAAAAGATCTATAGTTTATTGTACAAATTTTTTTTCACAGAACGCCAAAAATCTCATCACAAAATTTCATGCTATGATCTAACCATTACAATTTGTTATGAAATTTGTGTTACATGAGCAAAAATGAAATGTCAAATGTCAAAAAAACAAACACAACACAGATGTACTAAGGATGCAAGGGTTAATTTTTTGGATGGGTAGGTTGGATATCTCCGCTATAGAAAAATCGATTATATCTTTATAGTAATAATAATAGTGATAATAATAATAATAATAATAATAATAATGATGATGATGATGAAGATGATGATGATGATGTTAAATGTCATAATGATAATAGACAATCATAATAATGATTCTAATAATAGAAAATATATTAATAGTAATAATAATAGTGATAATAATAATAATAATCATAATAACGATGTTATTAACAATAATAATTATAATAAAAAATAATAATGATAGTGATTCTAATAATAGAAAATAGTAATGATAACAGAACCGGCACAACTTTATTAAAATCCAAATCCTAGCTACTTTATACATTGGTAAAGGAAGAGATATTTTGAGTTGTTTAATCTTATATATAAAGAACATACTATCTTTGTTTTATCTCCTTAAAACCTTTATCTTAAAAATGGGGAAAAGACCTATTTACAAATAAAAAAATTCTGACTCCTAATGTCTCTAAACAATACAAGAAAATAGAAATATATATGTAGATAGTAATAAGAATTATAGTAATCAATAGTTTATTATAAAAATCTCTTTTTATAGAACGCCCAAAAATCCTGTAACGGAATTTCATGTTATGATCTACCCATTACAATTTGTTATGAAAATTTGATGTTTACATGAGCAAAAATGAAATGTTTTCACATATACAATATAGGTCAAAGCTAAGGGGTCATTACACACTACAATGCACTACCATGCACATGTGATACGCGTGTGCGTCTGTTGGCATACTCGTATGAATATTTACAGCCATTATTTAAAGCCATTATTCACCACTTGGAAGGTGTTTTCGGATCCAACATAATCACCAGCTCTCAGTTAGCTTGTTAGCTCAGTTGGTAGAGCGCTGCATCAGTATCGCAGAGGGCATGGGTTCAAATTGCGTACGAGACCGAATTTTTTTTCAGGCCTTATTTCAACTACTAGTTCAGTGGTGTTCATAACTGCGAGGATCGCTTTTATATTAGTTTCTTTAACTGCAGTGCACATATAAGATTTTCTTATATTTACAGCCATTATTCGTATGAATATATTCAATACACGTATGACCTACGTGTATGTGCTTTATAATGCTTCATTGCTTTAGCTTTGCTTCGTTTGACATTGTGTTGTAGAACTAAAAAGAAGGTTATTCTTAAATTAAACTATCGTAAGGAAATTGCTGAACCACCAACGGGGAGGGGCGATGATGCTGTGGTGAGGGCGCCCGCCTCCCTCTACTGTGGGCCGGGTTCAGATCCCGGACCTGACGCCACATGTGCACGAACGAGGGTTGAGTTTGTTGTTGGTTCTGGTCCTGACTACGGGGGTTTTTCTCCGACTCCTTTGGTCTTCCTCCCTTCGCAAAAACCAACACTCTAAATTCCAATTCGACCTGGATACAGTGGACAAGAAGGGCCACCTAGAAGAATGTCTTCTATTATTATCATCATTATTATTATAAATCATTAGCGTCTGTTATTCTTCTTTCTGAAGTTAAGAAAGAAATAGCTCGTGAAAATTGACGTTGA